CAACTTTTATCAGTACAGCATGCCCATCTTGCTTCTCCCTGCGTCTCTCGGTGACTTCCCTGACTCTACCCATCTTCATTCCAGCATCCTTAGTTTGATCGCCCTACCTATACTTCCTGCCTGGCTACCAGCCAATCAGCGCTATATTAAACCAATTCCAATGGCATATCTTTACAGTGTACGAGAGGATTATTCCACAGCATCTTCTCTTGTTTGAATTCACAGTTCTACCCTTTTTCTGATATGCTGTCTGTGTTCTGTATAGTCAATCTCCCCTTGGTGCCAGGATTTCTCAACTGTTTTGTTCATCATTAGCACCCAAGGTCTTAGGACAGTATCTAGCGTCTAACAGAGAGGTGCTCGGCAAATATTTGTCAAGTGAGTACATTTGTGAAGCCAGAATTCAAAACCACACCTCTCATTTAACTCTGACGTGTCACACATCAGGGCAACCAGAAGACTGAGGTAACAATCCTGTCAAATGCTTATCTCATATGTCATTGTCCTTATAGCACCCCACCTCCCCAAACTCCAGGGTAGTCATATAGTTCACAGTGCCTGCTAATTGCCACTCTGTGTGTGTGTGTGTGTGTGTGTGTGTGTGTGTGTGTGTATGTGTGTGTGTGTTACCATGCTCATGCCTGGTAACAGCCTTCACCCCTCAGTAGCAGCCAGATAGTCACAGCCTCATCAGAGAGGAAATTCTTCCATTCCTAAGATTCCCTGCCACCCTTTTAGGCAAAAAGACCTTTGACAGAGCTGGAAAGCCCTTCCTTTAAATACTCAGAGGCTTTGAAGCTGGTCTTCTGGTCAGCTAACGTATTCCCAGGTAGAAGCACCTTATAAAAGGGGAACGCTGTAACTGAGGAAAGCGCTTGCCTGTGGAGCACCACAATCGTTGTCAAGCTGTTTGAAGCACCATCCATATTGCTCTTTATCTAAGACAGGAACGCCTAACCTCATTTTTTGTTGTGAATGAATATGCAAAAGGAAGTGCATCTTGGTTAAAGTCACAGGGAACACAGGGCTGGATGCTTGAGGACTGCCTTGTCTCCTACAAACAGAACCTGGGCTCCAATTTGTGACACTCCCCCCAGATTCATGGGGCACCTGCTGTGGTAAGGAGAGTAGTGAAGAGTAAAGGGTAAAACACTGGGCAGAATAAGTCAGACAAGCCTCAAAATGCAGCTTGAGTCAGAAGAGGCAAGGGCTGAACTAGGAGTACCCTCACCTGGCTGCTGACTCCAAGGAGTACCGTGAACCTGTGGCTGTGGAAACTGCATCTGGGTAAGCCGGATGCTAAGATCGAAGTGGAAGATCCATCTCAGTTCATCCAGCACCCTCATCCCTGAAGACTTGCCTGCTAGTTAATGTGCTGGGGATCTGAACCAGCACTGAATCTTGCTCTCAGTTTCCATGGTGACCACTTAAACTTTTCATCATCCTTTCTTCAGACTTTGGAGAAGAGCTATGCTCTCTGGTTTCCATGGCAACCATTTAAACGGGTATCCTTGCCTGGCTCTATGGGAAGAGAGTCGCTAGAGTTCATGCAAATGAACTTGGATTACTCTCTTTTTTACTTGGAAAATAAAATAAATTTCAAATAAAGTGACACACCTGCTCAGAAGTTTCAGAACTCTGCTCATAACAAGGAGGACGAGCAATTGTGGCAAGCTGCTGTTTGAGGCAGGTGCACCATGTCTCTTTGACACTTTAAGTGCTCACCGAGATCCTCTGGTTGAGTCTGCAGTCTGTTTGTTTGTTTTTTGGTTCTCCAAGACAGGTTTCTCTGTGGCTTTGGAGCCTGTCCTGGAACTCACTCTGTAGATCAGGCTGGCCTCTAACTCACAGAGATCCGCCTGCCTCTGCCTTCTGAGTGCTGGGACTAAAGGCATATGCCACCAACACCCAGCAGTTCTGCCATCTTATAAAGGCAGGATGGAGGGCCAGTAGCCAACTTCTCTACCCAATGCAAGCTTGAGCCATTGTGGAGAGACAAACAGGATTTCCATCTGTCAATATCTTTTCTGTCAATATATTCACCAAAGGTGACCCCAGACTGAGATGACAGCTGTGAAAATATGGAGATGATACACAAGTAGCCTGGCACTACTCCGAGTTCTCCAGCAGGACTTGTGGAGTGCATGGCTGGCGTTCCCAACTTTAGGGCTTTGGGCCAGGCAAAATGAAAGAGCTCCAGAGAAATGAAGGGGGCAATGAGGATGGCCTCTCTATATACTTAGACGCATCTCTGAACTCTGCTGCGATGTTTCCCCAAACTAGAGGTGCCAAGAGGCTGACTACAGAATAGTGGCAATATTGAAAACTACAGGTTTCTGCCAAAGAGACTTCCCATTTCTCCTGAGGAATCAGAAAGCCCATGGCAGAGTCCTACTTGACATGGTCTGCTGAGAAGAGCAGCACATGCCCTTGAAGATGGAGCCTGCATTAGACTGCATGGAACTTTCCAGAATGGCATGTTTTTCTTCCTGGTTCTTGGGAAAGTGTTGACCTTGTAACTTGTAGTGACAGACACAACACTCAGACAACCCTAACCCCAACCCAGTCACAAGCAATGAGTGGGGAGATGAACATTATTCCTCAACTTTCTTTCTCCAGAGTTCTTCTAAGTCACTTGGAACACAACGGAGGCGAGTGTCCAAGGGAAACCAAGAGACAGGGAGCAGGAAGGCCCCTCTGAGTGTGTTGAGGACCCCTCTTTATTCATCCTCCGGCCAGATCCAGATTGAAAACCCGCAGGAGGACATTGATGCCACCATTTTGATCCTCTTATAGAAGAGATTCATAAATCAACCATTCAGCTGAACATATCTATCCAAATCAGTGGAGGAAATGATTGCCTGGTTGCTTGATAAGCCCATGGGCACTCTGTGTACTTCAGTGTAGCTTCAGACAGTCCTGGGCTCAGGTCTTCCTTCTGCGATCTTCTTTGTAATTTTTAATTAGTTTTTATGTATATGGGTGTTTTGTCCACCTATTGTATGTTCACCATGTTCATGCCATGTCCTGTGGAGGCCATAGAGAGCATCAGATTCCTGGAACTGGAGTTACAGATTGTTAAGAGCAGTTTTTCTCACTATGCCAGCCCCAAATAACAAACAGAGACATTATATTAGATATAGAGACAGAATCCACACTGTCTTTAAAAAATCCCATCACGTCTCCTGTTGTGACCCCCCCCCCAAAAAAAAGCTCCAAAAAAAAGCTTGATGCCTCTGGACCCAGCCCTCCAGTGGCACTGGGGACACCCGAGCCTGAAATTGAACTCCCCAGCGATCCTCCGCCTAATGAAGAATGTCTGCAGATTCTGGAGAGTGCTGAGAAAGGTGTGAAGTTCCTTAGCGATGTAGAGATCATCCAGTTGGTCAATGCCAAGCACATCCAGACCTACAAATTGGAAACGCTAATAAAAACTCATGAACGTGATGTATCTATTCGCCAACAGCTCCTCTCCACAAAGCTTCCAGAGCCTTCTTCTCTGCAGTACCTGTTTTACAGAGATTTATAATTACTTTCTGGTGATGGGAGCTTGCTGTGAGAATGTGATTGGATATATGCCCATCCCTGTCAGAGTGGCAGGGCCTCTGTGCCTGGATGGGAAGGAGTACCAGGTTCCAGTGGCAACAACGGAAGGCTGTCTGGTGGCCAGTACCAACAGAGGCTGTAGGGCAATGGGTCTTGGTGGAGGTGCTAGCAGCAGGGTCCTTGCAACAGATGATTGTGAACCACTGTCTCAGTCAGGGTTTCTATTGCTGTGAGGAGACACCATGACCACACCAACTCTTATAAAAGACAACACTTATTTGAGGTGGCAGCTTACAGTTTTGGAGGTTTAGTCCATTATCATCATGGTGGGAACAGGCAGACATGGTGCTGGAGAAGGAGATGAGATGCTATATTTTGATATGCAGGCAACAGGAAGTGAACTGAGTGTCAAGGCTCGCCCCTACAGTGACACACTTCCTCTACCAAGGCCACACCTTCTTCAACAAGGCCACACCTCCTAATAGTACCACACCTTTAGGGGGCCATTTTCTTTCAAATACATTCCATTCCCTGGCCGCCAAAGGCTTGTAGCCATATCATAATGCAAAAATGCATTCATTCCAACTTCCCCATGGTCTATCACAGTCTCAAACATATTTAAAAGTCTAAAGTTGAAAGTCTCTTCTGAGACCCATGCAATGTCTTAACTGCAGTCCCCTGTAAATTAAAATCAAAGGGCAGATCACATACTCCCATCATAAGGGAACATAGTGAGGAAATACTGGACCAAAGCAATACCAAAATCCAGCTGGGCCAACTACAAACTCTGCATCTCCTTGCCTGATGCTAAAACTCTCTTCAGATCTCCAATACCTTTTAGCTTTGTTGAGTACACCACACTTCTTCTCTTGAGCTGGTTCTACTCCCTGTTAGCAGCTCTCCTTGGTAGATATCCCATCACTTAGTCATCTCCAACAATGGGATCTCTAAGGCAATGTGGGTGCTGGGAATCACATCCGGTCCTTTGGAAGAGCAGCTGGTGCTGTTATGCGCTGAGCCATCGCTCCAGGAGAGTTACATGTTTTCTGGATGACAAGTATCCTAAGTTTTCCAAGGAAGGTTTCTCACTAAAGATGGGGATAGATGTGCTTGCATCCACTGAGGTTCTGAAAGACTCACATAAAAGTGTTGCCAGCAAGGCTGGACCACTGGGCGATGAAAGCCTAAAACGCAAATGACCTTCACACTACCTCTGCCCTCCAAGGTGTTTCATGTCCCTTTTTAGAAAAGTGAGAAGAGTCTTTTTTTACTCACATCAGTTTTATTTTCTGGCTGTCTGGAATTTACCCCTGGGGAGGAAAGAAAATACCCACATCGTTTCTAAGAACAAGTCTGGGGCTGTCAAAAAATTAAGTGATTGCTTTAAGAGACTGTCTTGTTTTCCTGGGAATATTTTTAGGGTTCACTATGGGAGCAACAGATGTCAAGGAGAAGCCAAAAGAAATAAGGAATGTTGGGAAGATTGTCAAGATGGGGAAAAGCTCAGCATCGCTTGCCCTGCCCCAAAGGCGAGCAGAATGTGGTCACACCGTGTTCTGCATCCATAAAGGAGTCAAGACATTCTCTTTCTGTAGGAGAAAAAACCTGTTGGTGACAGGTGGGGTGGATCGAATCATCAGGTTCTGGAATCCTTATCTGCCAGGGTAAGTAGTCTTTCTCCTACCTACCAAGAGCACGGTTGATAAAGTGAAAGAGAACGTGACTGGGATTCCCTACGGGAATCATTGAAAAGTCTGTCCACAAGTAATCTCTCTCACCCAGAGCCTGGAACATTTCTGTTTCTAACCTCTAAAATTTCACTATGGGGGCTGCTGGAGAGATGGCTCAGTTGTTAAGAGCAAGGATCCGAGTTCTATTTCCAGCACCCACATCATTGCTCAAAATCATCTATAACTCTGGTCCCACAGGATCTGACTCCCTCTTCTGGCCTTCACATGCATGGTGCACAAATACACAAACAGCAAAGCATCCATACGCAGAAAACATTTAAAGCTTTTTCACTGTAACTGATGTGGAATGTAAATCCCAGCAGAGCGAGGTGTAATGCCAGCACTTAGAGAGGTGAAGCATGACTTCAAGGTTAAGGCCAGCCTGGGCTACACAGAGAGACCAGGTCATCACTAACAAAACAAAACAAATGTAAAGACTTTACAATGGCACAGACTATGGGATGTCATTCACCGGGATCTCAGAGTGACTTCCTCTTGTCTGATGGCATCCTTGCCTTTAAGGGGACCATGATCAGCTGCAGAATGACTGGAGGATTTTGTACACAGTGAGTGTGTGCCACATGTGGCCTCAGAGAAGTGGCCCCAGCATTCTCCTGAGGACATGGGGTTTAGCCCCATCAGAACTAATGACTCTACCATGCCTGCATTTTAACAGAATTATCGTAAGAGAACAGACACGAGAAAGCCATGACTGGTCTGTAAAGGCTGGGACTGGGGCCCTGGGGAACGCAACAAAAAGCCACTGAAGGTTCATGGCTACCACCCCCTCAGTGGGACACTGTCATATGCTTTGGGCCAGGCCAGCACTTCACACAGTAGGTGAGATCAATACCACCAGAACACTTGAGGGTTTCATTCACTTCATTCTTTTCAAATGCGAGTGCTGTGCACTCATGTTTATGCATGTTGGTACATGTTGGCATGTCTATGAGAGAGAGAGAGAGAGAGAGAGAGAGAGAGAGAGAGAGAGAGGGGTCACCTGAGGGTGCCAATGAGAGTTGTGCTGATTGCGTTTTGTTTTGTTTTTTGAGGCAGGGTTTCTCTGTATTGTTTTGGAGCCTGTCCTGGAACTAGCTCTGTAGACAAGGCTGGCCTGAAACTCACAGAGATCCACCTCCCTCTGCCTCCTTAGTGCTGGGACTAAAGGCATGCACCACCAATGCCTGGCTTGCTGATTGAGATTTTTATCAACCTGACATAAACTAGAGTCACCTGGAGAAAGGAACCTCAATCGAGAAAATGCCTCCATCAGGGATAGGGTGTGTGACCTGGGAGTTGTAAGCTTGAATAAACCCTTTCCTCCCCAAGTCACTTTTAGTTGTCATGTTTATCACAGGATCCGAAAGCAAAGACAGGGGCCTTCTTCTGCCACACTCTACCTCATTCATTACAGCAAGGTCTCTCAGCTGAACCCAGAGTTTGTTGTTAGCACTGGTCTAGCTAAGCAGCTGTGCCGGGACTCCCCTGTGCCCACCTTCTGAATGCAGGCTGCCGCTCCCACCCAACGTTTCCGTGGGTTCTGGGGATCTGAACTCCATTCCTCATGCCTGCTGCTTGCACTGAGCCCTCTCCCCAGTTCTACCCTCTTGATCATATTGAGACCTACTGTGTAGTGATTGATGTCTGTAATCCATCTGTCGTTTCTGGTCCTTGCATCAAGTCCCCTGATCAACGAAGGCCCTGGAGCCCAGAGAAGCAATGGCAAAGGCAGAGAGCCCCATAGGCAGGCCTGCCATTTCCCTGAGTGGTGCTGAAGATGGGAGAAGAGTGGGAAGTAGGGGGCCCACTTGATCTTCCAGTTGTGATGGGCATGAACCATGCAGCCTATGTCCAGGTTCCTGTCGGGGTCACTCTCTGTGGCGTCTGTGGGGACCCATGAGGTGACCCTGTGTCCATCCATGGCACAGGTGATAGCAGGACCATGAGGCACACTCTGGGTAAGCACACTAAATCTGATTGTGCCTCTATGGCTTCCCAGCCAGGAGGTTCTCCTGACCACCTTCAGCCGACTCAGTTTCCCAGTGTGTGATGGGGACAAGATTCTCACCCTCTAGGGCAATAACAAAAATTACAAAACAATAAAGAAAAAAAAAAGACTCAGAACAATGCAAGAGACATAAAGGCAGTTTTCTGCCTGCTTCTGTTGTGGTTAAAAGCAGGCATGTGCTCTCCCCCTTAGCCTCAGCCAGGCTTCTTTTCTCTCAGTCTCTTGACCCTCCCAGAGTACCTAGCCACGATGTCCCATGAGGGCACTTTAAACTCACTTTCTATCGCAAAGCCCAGATGTAAGCGCTGTTCACTCAGGCCTGTAGAAAGTGCCTCTGTGTCCCAGAATCCACGGCAGCCTCACCTTAGCCTCTTCCTTTTATGTGGTTACTGTTAACAGCTGGAGAAGCAGAGCCCCAGGCTTCCTGTCACCCCTAGTTCTGTTGCTTATTCTTTTGCCTCAGTCCTTTTATTACATGAAATATATACTTGTGTAATATCAGAGGGAAGCATAAGCCTCCTCCAGGCTGAATAGAACTGCTGGATCCAAGCCAAGCTGAGTTTTGCATTAAAAAGGAAGAAAGAAAGAAAGAAAGAAAGAAAGAAAGAAAGAGAAAGGAAAATAGTAATAGCAAATAGAATGGCTTTGTGTTACTTGTTCTTTTTTTTTTTTTTTTTTTTCTAGAAAACCAACAGGTATGCTGAGAGGCCACATGGCGCCTGTGATGTATGTACACATATCTTCTGAAGAAAGCAAAGTATTTTCCATGTCTGCTGATAACACTGTCAAGGTCTGTCTCTCCACTGTTTGGATGTATGCATCCTTTAGACAGATTCTACTCATAGTTTGTTTGTTTGTTTATGTAATATTTTATTTACTTTTGCAATATGTTCTCCCACTGTAGCCCAGAATGGCCCCACAAGCCTTAGCCTCCCAAGCAATTTGCCCATCCCCATCTTTGGCGATGTGAGGGGCTCAGCCTTGACAAAGGCTCATGTGGGGTTTAAATGGGGGCATTTTCTTTAGGAGGTATGTGTGTATATGTGTATGTGTGTGTGTCTACATAAGTGTCTGTGTTGGGGTGTGTGTGTATGTGTATGTATGCATATGTGTGTGTCTGAGTCTGTATACACAGGGACAGGCAGATGATCGCTAAGGCTCTCTCCATGCTGGTTCTTGGGGTGCTATGTAGCTGGGCCCCTGACTGCACACCATCCAGATAGTCCTTGTCCCAATCATTTCCCTATGAGTCTAGAAGATAGAGACATAGAGCTGGGAATTCTGCCCCTTGCTATCAGTGGCTAGCTCTTGTTTTGCAACACACTCTGGGCAATTGCCTTCCTGAAATGTCACCCATGAAACTCAAAATATGACATTTCTGACCTAGATGGGGCCAGTGGCACCATGGTTTGCCTTTGTTTGCCTTCATACACTGAACATCCCATCTACGTCTAACACTTGGTTATTCCGTGACCTCTGTGTGCTAGGATTTTTTGTTTTGTTTTTATTAAAAAAAGCAGTCTGACTGACTCCCCTCCTCCATCATTACTCTTGCTTTTTCAGAGGATACCATCAGGCTTCAATCCATTTGCCTGCTTTACTGGGCTGTCAGTGGCCACAGGGTAGGAATTTGGACAACATTAGTAGGAGGTTGGAGATCCTGTCCCAGAGAGAAAGAGAGAGATAGCTTCATGACCTTGAACTAGGCATTAGTTTTTAAGAAATGACACCAAAAGTTCAAGAAACAAAAGAAAACAAATCAGACTTTGTCAAAATTAGAAACATCTGTGCTTTATAATGTGAGGGCATCGTTAATACAAGAAATAGATAATTTATGTAATGGAGGGGATATTACAAACCATATGTCTGATAAAGAACTTGCATCAGGAATATAAAGAACTTTTAATGCTTAGTAATAAAAAATCCTGATAACCAACTGAAACACGGGCAACAGATTTGAGTAGGCATTTCTTTGAAAGTGGCCAATCATGGCATATGGCTCTCAACACCATAGTCATAGGGAAATGAAAACCAAAACCTCAGTAAGATACCTCTTCACACTCTCAAGGCTAAAATTAAAAAAAATAGTAGAGACTGATATGATATGCTGATAGAATGAGAAGAAATTGAAATATTGAAATCTCTATATACTGGCATAAAAGAAGAAATTTTTAAAAAGAAACCATCTTATCAATTCTTGAGTAGTAAATAGTTAACATATGGTCCAGAGCTCCTACCAACAGGGATATGCCCAAGAGAACTAAAGGCTTACATTCCTCAAAAATGTACTTGTTGATGCATATGATGGCATTATTAATCATAGTTAAAAGATAGCCGAAACTCAAATGTCCAGCAACTAGTAAATGGTACAAATAAAATGAAAGCAGTGTGTGGCAACAGAATGAATCCCTGATCTACATTATGACAGGGGTGAACCTTAGAGCCGTGGTGTCAAATGAAAGTCACAAAAAGCCACATATTGTCTTTGCTTCTTCCATTTGTATGAAACATCCAGAAGAAACCAGGCACTGGAGTGTGGACAGAACATGGAAAGGCTGGCAATGGGCATTGGGGTCCTAGAGGAGCTGATGGCATGCCTGGTAGTGGTCATGGCCATGTAACTCTATGGCCATGCTGAAGGCCCCCTGAGCTGAACATGTTCCAAGTGTGACTTTGGTGGTATGCGAGTTATATTTCCATAAGGACGTTTCTAAGGGTGTGAGGCCAGAGATGACTCAAGAGTGACACCAAGATTTGGGGTCTAAGCCAAAATCTAAGACAGCGTAAGTGGCAAGTGAGGGGCATTAAGACCAGAGTATGGCTTTGGACGTGTTGGATGGGGTCAACCTGAGCTTAGGGGGTGTGGCTGGGGCTAGTGGTACAAAACCAGGCCTTATTAACATTTATATAGAATCTTCACTCTGGGCTAGGTAAGATGACAAAAAGAGCAAGAGTGAGCAGAGGAAGGCAAAGTCCACTAAAGACTGTGTGCCAGGTCTGTGATGTGCTATCAGTTCTCTGGGTGGGGCCAAGATGGCTCCCCTACAGTGAGCATGGTCCACCCTGCAGTGAGCTCAAAAGTAGTTCTCCACAGCTAGGTGTGGAGAGTACAGCCAGCGTTATAGCTGAAGCCCAAACGCGAGCCATGCAGTCCTCTGAGCAAACTTGATTAAAAAGATGAGATTTATGAACTCCACTGTTTGATTTATTTTGAAAATCAAATTCATCCAAAGGCTTCACCGAAAGTCACCGTGTGGAGGACTCCAAGTTTTTAATGAGCTTTTTTTTCTTTTTTTCTTTCTCCCTTTGAATCTTGTGCCTCTCGGAAAATCATAATTTTGTATGTGGGGACATGTCTTCCGTCCTTTTTTCTTTCCCCATTGCCTCTCCATTTCCTTCCAATCTCAACTCGTGATTACAAGATTAGCATCTCGCCCAGGATGAGTCAGGCATATTGAATAGCTTCCCAATGTGTGTTTAAAATATATTAAAATCCCATCTTAGAAATATGGTGTGTAAGTTATTTCAGACTGCGCTATTCCTATTGAATAACAGCTAATCAACAAGGAGCCAAACAGCTCAATGACTAGCATGCCTGAGCAGATTAGCCTTCCTTCTTTGAGTTATTTTTCAGCCCAAATATTTTATTCCTCCAAATCATGGGGACATACAAACATCTCAGGAGGCTGCTGGTTTCTGGCATCTTCTAACGGGGAATAAAGTGACAGATTCAGATTGCCTTGAAAAAGGCAAATGAAAATTTGGTAGTCTACAAATGTACAGACAGGGCTGGGTTTTGTCAACCAGAATTAGAATTCAGGGAAAGACTTTTTTTTTCCCCCCTAAGGAAGGTAGTGTGGGGTGCTAACTAACATAACATGTGAACCTCTATCTTAAGCACATTCAGGTTTTCTCTAGGTTAAGACAGTAGGTTCATTTCTGTCCATTTTAACCCAGCACAAGTGATTCTGTGAGTGAGTGTTCCCATTGTAAGTGAGTGCTCCCATTCAAGGGCTGGCATCTCTCCGGTCAGGAGCCCTACCTTCTTCATCCAATGCCAAGAGGCAGGTAAAGAGGATACTGCTGCCACCTACAACTCCAGACACCTCTTCTCACAGCCATGATAGGTGAATGGGAAAGTGGCATGTACCTTAGTTGGTCACCCTCTTCCCAGCAACAATTCTGCAAATGGATGAGGATGTGTGGATTTGGGAGAGGGTAACAGAAAGCTTCAGAGACATACAACAAGCCAGGTGACTTGGGCAAATCACTCAATCTAGCTAACTGGACTTTGTTCTTTAGTCCTTCAGAAGATGGGAGAAAGGCCTTGTAGAGTAATGGTCCTTGTTGAAGGCAGTACATAGACTGGGCTCACTATATAATGGCCTTACTAAATGAGACTGACTTCAGCCCAGGAGACACGGGTGACATTCAGTAGGGAAGGTGCCAGGGAGGGCTTGGTGGCCACAGAAACAGTTATTAAGCGAACTGTCACACGGCAGTAGATGCTGGTCTCCTCCTGAACCTCCACTGCAGAAAGCTGCTCTCACTCATGCACCTGTGTTTGTAACAGGGAGTTTGATGCCAATTTGATGACTCAGTCTAAACTTCTATGATACAAATGTCTCCCCTGATGGACTCTTGGAAAAGCCATTTCAGGCTTAGGCACCAACTCATCCTACCTGAAATGGCTTTTCCCAGATTCCAGAATTTCCTGTGTTCCTCTCAGGAACCATATGTATTAGTCCCTTTCCTGGTGTTGTAACAAAATACCTGAGACAAACCAATGTGCAAAAGAGCCCAGGTTTGTTTAGTACAAGGTTCTAAAGCTAGGAAATCCAAAAGCATGAAGCTGGCATATCCCTGGGGTCTTCTTGCTGTGTCAGTATAGTGAGAAACATCACATGGTCAGGCAGGGCAAATGTGCTGGCTTAGGTCTCTCTTCCTCTTTGTTTTTCAATACATTTTTACAGGAAGCCCATGGTCTTGCACGTGCTAGACAAGCACCATCAAGTTATATCCCTAGCTCTGTCTTTCTCTTCTTATGGGGCCACTGATTTCATCATGGGAGCCCTGTCCTCTTGACCTCAACAAATCCCTACCTTTAGATATCACTAACATATAAACTTAGGTACTGAGCTTGCAATAGAGACTTTAGGAAGCATTTTTAAATCTTGGCATCTCATGCCAGGAAGTGGGAAGAAATCAGTGAGTAAAGTCTCCCCAAAGCAGGGGAATAGACAATGACTGTGCAGGTAATTTTCCTTCAGCAAAATGAGTGTGTTCCACTAGACTGATAGCAGACAGGGGAGGTACTGTCCCTTAAGCAAGCCACTCTTGGAACTACCCTTTCCACGGGGAGTCAATACTGGGACCCCATGCTGACTTCCCTGGAGACCCACACAGATCCAGGGATGGCCTGTTTGCTAAGAGCTCAGAGAACAAATGGAAAATATGCAAAGTGTAAATTCAAAGGATTAGAATGCAGTTTAAGAGACAAATATTGCAAATGGCTGGCATTTGGCAACTGAGCCAAGGAGAAGACAAAGCTCTGCCCAGGCTCATGGGCTCACTCGTGTCCAGTGTCTTGGCTACTTCTTAGCCTGTAAATTCAGAACTTTACTTGGAGTCAACGGATAACATCTGCCTCCCAAAGCTGGCTTAAGAGAGCACTAGTTGGAGCTGGAGAGAAGGCTCATCTTTATGTGCTATCTTCCCATTGTGTACCTCTCTCTAACTCCTCTCTTCTTGCAAAATCACCCATTGTATTGGAGTCTAGCCTGCTCCAGAATGACCTCGTCTTCATTTACTGCTTGTATCTCAACAACCCCATTTTCAAATTGATCCCCATCCTGAGGGACTGGAGTTATTTGCCATTTGAAGGGAGAGTAGCAATTCACCCACAACAAGAAGTGAAGGAAACCAGGACTCAAAAGTAGCTGACACACAGTGGGTGCACGTCGCCACTGCCTCTCTGATGGTCATGCTCTCCCTCTTTGTGCTTGGCCCAGCTGCCCTTCTAATCTACTGCAGCCTCTACCAGCTCAGTCTGCTCATAGAAGTCCAGAGCTATGGCATGATTTACAAGCATAACAATGGTTGACAGCAATATCATTCTAATCACGTTAGACCATTACTATATTTTATCCATTTTCTCTAAGCATGCTGTCCTTTAATCAATTTTCTGACTTCTCTAAGGAAAGTTATACACTAGGCAGCATTGTCTCTCTATTTTACAGACAACACTGAGGGGAAGAGTTCTTGGGGAACTGTGTGAGGCTACCTAGGCATTAGGTAAACCCACTTGGATTCCAGCACAGGTCAATGGACGCTGGGCTGTCATGTCCTCATAGAGCAGCCACACAGGAGTCTTCTGTGTGTCCTCCAAATATCTGCCTGGTGACTGGGTTGGTGGTGTATTCTTGTATTAAGAACTGGGGATAGAGGGCTAGAGAGATGGCTCAATGATTAAGATCACTGGCTGCTCTTTCAGAGGACCCAGATTCAATTCCCAGCACACACATGGCAGCTCACAGCTGTCTGTAACTCCAGTTCCAGGGCACCCAACATCCTTGTGCAGGTAAAACACCAATGCACATAAATAAAAGACAAAACAAAAGAAAAACCTCAGAACAGATTTGGTTATCAAAGTACCACAAATGAGATCCATGTCACCCGCTCCCCTTGAAAGCTGGGTGCATAGAGAAGGGGGTGACTGTTCATTTCCTTGTGGAACGAGCAGAGCCTAGAGCCTTGTGGTCACAATTGTCCCTTCTCTCTGATCACCTTTCACACACCCATGATTGAGGGAACCAGGGGTGTAGGCCTTGCTATCTTTGTCACAACAACGATGGAGAAAAACTCCTCCCTGGATTTGGACTTTTGGCAGGGGTGGACAAGGGGTAGAATTTAAACTTGGTCAAGTCAAGCCAGACCCCACACCAGGCAACAGCTGTGGAAGCACCACAACCGTGCGAAATGTTCTGAGTGTGTGACACACAGAGAGCTTAGAGTTCGAGGCCAGCTTGGGCTATGTAGGCAGATCCTATCTACACAAAGAACAAAACCTATTGCTGTCCCCCATTTCCTCCACAGATCTGGGATCTGGAGACCCATGGTTGCTGCTTTACAGCTTCTTCCAAAGCCAGTGGTATCAAGGGAGAACTTGCAGCTTGTCTCTACCTCTCTGGACCAAGAGCTCTGTGTGTGGCCACCGATGCCCTGGCTTTTCTTCACCTGAAAGTGGGGTATGAGGCTGTCTGTCCTCTGAGCTTTGTGTGTAGAATTTTCTAGAGGATGTTAGAGAATTCCAGCGGCATGGTCAGTGGTCTACTTGATGCTCTTTGCCATTCAGGTCACAGGCTCTGAAACTGTAGTCCTGAGCCTCCGGCCTTCAGCTTATATTTGACATGGGCCCTTTTAGCATCCCCTCTAGCAACACTGGAGTAATCTGCACTATCCAGAGGTAATTTTCCCTTGGTCCCATCCCACCCACCAGCCTTAAGCCTATAGTACATAAAGATTCATTGTATGGGAACAGAAACCAAATCCAAAGGCAGAAGATGAGCACACAGAGAACAGACAGAGGTCTGATAAACCTCATAGTGATGTTGCTTCTTCCATGCCCCATGCCCTAGACACCCCCTCCCCCATCCATAAAGCAAGCTAGCCATTCAGGGAGCACATACCCAAGTGATAAGGCAGGACTGTAATGGGGACCTCTGAGTAGATTCCCTTCCCCAGCAATGGGCCTTGAGAATGGACTCTCCTCGATTTCACATGTATTCTAGTTTCCTTGACATCCCCACACTCTACCCCAAATCCCAATTATAGCACCATTGCCTCCCTGACAAAGAGTCTAGTGACCACTTGCCCTTTCTTCCACTTCTGCTCTTCTGGGCTGAACCTGTCTGGTCTTACACACTCAGAGAAGACACTATACAGGATAAGAATTGGCTCCAGGTCCTTGCCTGTCTCTGCCCTACCTGATCTAAGGCTTTCTACTCTTATAGTACAGATGTATAGATGTTGTCTAGTTCAAATCTTCATAGATGAATAATTATGGATCCAGGAGTTGGGGAGTGGATGGCTATGATGCATGGGGACCAGGAGCAAAAAACAAGACATCCTGCCTCTGGGGGAGGGTAGTCTTCTGGCTTCTCTGTGCACCTTGCTACAATGAATCCAAAGGAAGAGGGGATGGTACATTACAAACCAAAACAAGGATAAAAGCATAAGAAACAAATATTGACATAGAGACACACAAATTGACTCACACAGAAATCCCCTAGAAACAAAAACTTAGAATCTATAAAAATACAAGCAAAAGACCTGTGGGGTAAGAAAAAAAGAGAGAGAAGACACAGACAAAGCATTATGAGACAAAGAACCTCCAAAGATGCCACTGAGTTTGTTTTCTGTTGGCCATCTTCTGCTGAACATGGGGCCTGGCCTTAAGAGTGGCTCATACACCAAGTGAAACTCCATTAGAGAAAATGAATTTTTCATTTGGTTATCAACTAGAGACAGCTTCTGGGTTAGGGATGTGGGCTTATGTCCACCTCCACTCTCAGCATCTCAGCACAGGCATCCCATGAGGTCCAGACAGGCGCAGGTCCTGTGCATGCTGCCACAGCCCCTGGGAGTCCACGTGTGCATTGGTCCTGCTCTGTTGAGGTGCAGGGCCTGGTTTCCTAGGTGCCCTCCATCCTCTCTGGCTCTTATACTCTTTCTGCTCCTTTTCTACAGGATTCCTTGAGCTGAGAGGAGAGGGATTTGATGAAGACTTCCCATTCAGTAGTGTTCCAAGACCTCTCACTCGCAGCACACTGTCCAGCTGTGGTCCCTGTATTTATTCCCATCTACTTACTGCAGCAGGAGGCTTCTGATCTATGAGTACAGCAGAATGTCACTAGGAGTCATTTTGTGGCCGTGCTCCTTTAGCAGAACAGTGGTATCTGCTTTCCCCTGGGTCCCCAGCCTCAGTTTCTTGGCCACTGAGCAGTGTCAGAGATGGGTTCCATCTCATGGAGTGTTTTTTTGTCTTCAGGGGACTTCTACATGTGCCAATTTGCATGTCTCTACATCTACATCTGCTTCTTGGGCTCTTTGTTTTTCTGTTTTGTTTGCTTTGTCCTATTCAAGTTTGTTTTCAGTTGTGTGCCATTCAATTTTGTTTACTTGTTTATTTAGCTGCCTGTTTGGTTTCTAATGAGAGAGTAGGAAAGGATGTGGATTTGGGTGGATGGGGAGGTGGGAGGAAGTGGGAGGGGGTGGGAGGAGGTAGGGAGGGGGTAGGGAGGAGCTGGGGCAGGACCATAATCAGAACAAAGGGCTGGAGAGGTGTTTCAACAGTTAAGAGCACTTGCTGCTCTTGCAGAGGACCCAGGTTAAGGTTCTAGCACCCACATGGTATCTCAGTGGCTCACAACTATCCACAACTCCAGTTCTAGGAGACCCTCTTCTGACTTCTGCATACATGAGGCACCAGTGTGGTACACATACATACATGCAGCCAAAACACTCATACACATTTAATTAATGAATTAACCTAAAACAAAGCCTGGGACAGAGGGAAGCATACTTCCTAATACTGGTTCCCACAGCCTGCAAGGAGGCATCCTTGCTCTAAGAGGCCCAGGGGCTATGGAATAAGCCACACCCTCCTGGGAACGGAGCTCTTCCCTCCCTGCCCTGCCAGCATGAATGATGGGGTGCTTGGCATATGCTTTGAGAACTGCAGGACTCTCTGTAGTCCAAAAGCATGGACCTCGGTACAGCCAGCCCAGTACAAGTGTGGCCCACTCTCCTTTTATTTGTTATTTTTATGTGGATACTGGGAATCAAACCCAGCTTCTCTGGAAGAATGGCCAGTGCTTTTAACCTCCGAGCCATCTCTCCAGCCCCATGTGGCCCACTCTTAATCCCCTGTTACTCTTCCTGGCTACACAACATGCATTCTTCCTCCCTACCACAGTTTTGTTTTGTTTTATCATGGTTCAGCAGTTCTGAGAATCCAAAGGCAGAATACACAGGACCAGAAGGATGCAGAAAAGTTACAGTGAATGTCATAGCATCTGTGTTTCAGGTACTGTGACACAGTGGTAACTGGCTTCCTGTGCCCCAAATCAAGACCTTTTTTCTCCCCATGTTTTCTCTTGATTTGTGTACATAGGCATGGGAGTCAGGGTCAAAGGTCAAACTACATGTTAAGAATTCATTTCAAGGGGCCTGGAGATGACTCAGTGGTCAAGAAGACACACTGTGGGCTGGAGAGATGGTTCAAAGGTTAAGAGCACTGGCTGCTCTTCCAGAAGTTCTGAGTTCAATTCCCAGCAAACACATGGTGGCTCACAACCATCCATAATGAGATCTGGTGCCTCTCCTGGTGTGCAGGTACACATGCAGTCAGAACACTGTCCATGATAGATAGATAGATAGATAGATAGATAGATAGATAGATAGATGATAGATAGATGATAGATAGATAGATAATAGATAGATAGATAGATAGATAGATAGATAGATAGATAGATAGATAGGACACATTGTCCTTGCACTAGGTGGTTAACAACTGCCTCTAACTCTAGTTCTAGAGGACCTGACACCTCTGGCCCCTATAGGCACCTATACACACAGACACATATCCACAATTTAAAGAAAATTTAAGGGCTGAAGAGATGGCTCAGTGGTTAAGAGCACCAGCTGCTCTATCCAGAGATCCTGAGTTCAATTCCCAGCAACCACATGGTGGCTCACAACCATCTATAATGAGATCTGGTATCCTCTTCTGGCCCAAAGACATGCAGGCAGAACACTGTAGACATGCATACATACATACATCTTTTATAAAATTAAATTAACTTCTTAGAAAAGCAAGCACATTTCAGGGCATCACATGTGTGGCCTTGGTCTTGGCCATCCACTCCCTTTCTAATCTCAGTGAAGCCATGCGGCTGGCTAGAATGGCTCAGAAAACTCAAATAGAGCCACAGCTGAATGACTGGTGTAGCTAGGCTCCTGAGCAATCTGGAAGGTTTCACTCAGGATGCCAATGCAGCCTGCCAATCAAACTGCTGTTTGCTCTGTATGATAGAGTTGTGTAGAACAAACAGCCCACTTGATTGATTTCTTTTGGAAGGTAATGCAATGATGGGAATTCTGCTTCAAGGGCAACACAATCTCAATCTCTAATGCTAACACTTAGCTGCCAGATCATGTCCCCTGTCCTAGCCCACCCCATCCCTGACATTACTCAGGAGCTATGCTACCTAGAGTTACCTAACCCTCATTTGCCTAAGCTCCTCCCCCAGCACTTGGGAAAGTGATCAGACCAACAGCTAGACCCAGAGATTCTTCCTTTCCCTTTGTTACTCCCTTCTGTGGACTTCTTCCTGCCTGGACCAGACCCCCAACCCACACACACTATCTCCTAAAGCACCAGGACAGGCTGCTCTTCCTTGGAGAGTAATCTGAGCATCATGCCTGAGGCTTCAGGTCCATTGGAGAGGCTCTGCCATCTTCCTGTAACCATGCTTGAGGATTCATTGCAGAAGGTCAATGAAGAGGGAGGCGGCAGGGAAATCACACATGGAATTACTGTCCACTGCGTGACAGCATTTATATCCCTTTCCTCATCATTTTGCCTCACATTCCCATAAGAGATTGTATTTTGCAGATGAGGAAATCAGGCCATGGGGCTTGAGGTGCTGTTGAGTGTTGGCCTCCGAGAGGCAGTTGTGGAACCAGGCTCTGGTTGCACTGCTCTGCCCTTTGAACCTGGGTACCCATGGAGTCACAGGGCCCTGCTGCCTGGGCCTCATCCCTGCAGTAACCAAGAAGTGTCGCTTTTTGGACACAAGGATTCTTAGTGTGCTAATTTGTTTACATTTGTTTGGGAGAAAAATCTAAATTCTCTGCAGACTAGATCATCCTGTCAGCCATCAAGTTACACTCCTCCTGCCCTTAAAAAGAGATTCATAGCCCCTTGTGGTGGCACACACCTATGATCCTAGTATTGTTCAAGAGGAAGAATCAGAAGGATCTTGAGTTTGAGCACAGTCTGAGCAACAGGAGAACCAGTCTCAATCAATCAGCCAGTCTGTCAGAAGTGCATGCTCTATTTCTTCTTTAGCAGTCATTGTAACTCAGCATGTGTCAATCACATGTGTTCTGAGTATGCCTTATCGTATGTGTGGCATTGTAAGAACATGCCCGTATCTCTTCCTACTTAGTCCCTGTGTCCTAGTTAGGATTGCTATTGCAGTGATGAAACTCCATGACCAAATCAGCTTGGGGAGGAAAGGTTTTATTTGTTTTACACTTCCATATCACTGTTCATCATCAAAGGAAATCTGGACAGGAACTCAAGCAGGGCAGGAACCTGGAGGCAGGAGCTGATACACAGACCATGGAGGGGTGCTGCTTACTGGCTCGCTCCCCATGGCTTGCTCAACCTGCTTTTTTATAGAAGCAGGAACCACCTGCCCAGAGATGACACCACCCACAATGGGCTGGGCCGTCCCCCATCAATCACTAATTAAGAAAATGCCCAACAGGCTTGCCTATAGCTGGATCTTGTGGAGGCAATAGCTGGATCTTGTGGAGGCAATTTCTCAATTGAGAATCCCTCCTTTCTGATGACTGTAGCCTGTGTCTAGTTGACATAAAACCAGCCATCACGTCTTTACAACACTTAAAGCAGGTGTTACTGCCCCTACATTGCAGGTTAGAGAGTGGGATTTTGAGCAGTTAGGCAATCTCCCCAAGTGCCTAGATGCATCATTTGAGCCCCAAGCTTCTGCTGGCCACTGTGTAATGGAGAATCAGATCAGCCCCCTCCTAGGTATCACTGGCATGCAGTCACCTCAGCTGTCCTTTGTCTCTTTTTCATGAGCCAGATCTGTCCCAGAGCCCCACCTGGTACGCTCGCACCAAGAGCCGGTGGTATGCTGCAGGTACAACCCAGCCTTCAGGCATGTGGTCAGCTGCTGCGAAGCATCCGTAAGTACCATCCACTCCTGATGTCTTAGCGATGACATGTTTGTGAGGTAGCTTGGTCCTGACATTACATTACAGATGAGCAGTGTGTTCTGCTCACATTCCATTCCTAGAAATCAACAATGGGATGGACATTCAGTTCTGCTCTGTTAATGATCCCGTATTGTTTGAACAGTCTGCTTAGAGTCAAGTGGAAGAAATTGCTGTCTCCCCAGTGGCTCCCAGGATGAGTTATTAGGAAGGAACATCCATCCTGAGAGTTATCTTGTATGCTGTAAAGCAAATACTACTCCAATCCACTATCTGCTCAGAGGACTTTGAGAGCGGGCTCTAAGCCTACCTCAAAGGAAACCCCACTGTGGTAGGAACTGACTTCAGCTATCAAGACTGAGGACACTGGGCTCCCTGGAGGCTCCCTTCCTCATTCAAAGGAAGGACTCTTACTCAAAGCCTGCTCCAGAGGTGACCAGAAAGAGACTAATGGCGAGAACAATTGTGCTGAGGGAGATCTGAGGACAGGGAGTTTAGAAGGTACAGGAAATGAACCCTACTGTCACAGTTTCTTTCCCAGTGGCTTCAATAAAATACCCTGACAAATGGGGGTTATTTTAGTGAACATTCCAAGACACAGTCCATTGTTGCCTAGAAGGCATGGCAGCAGAAGCTGCAGACAGCTAGTCCAGCACCCAAAGTACAGAAGTGTGAGCCTAGATCAGATCCACAGTCCAGAACAGTGAACTTAGGTCAGACCATATCCAAATCCAGAAACATGAGTCTAGTTCTTCATTTAGTTCAGGACCAATGCACGAACCTTTCACATTCAGGATGGGGTTTCCTACCTCAGTTAACCCAAGCTTAAGAAAATCCCCACCATGCATGCCCACAGGCCAACCTAAATCTAGACATTTCCTCGCTGAGACTCCCTTCCCCAGCGAGTCTAGATTGTGTTGAGGTGCTAGTTAACACTAGAACACCCACAACCCCTTGACTCTGGACAATGAACCTGCAGATGCTGAAACCGAACATTTCCATTGTTTAAGTGATCTAGTCATGGTAATTTGCTATAGCTGTGCTAGCAATTGGATACATTCAAATAGGCTGTATGGGAGTCCAGACACTTTCTAGGCACACATTTATTTTTATTTAATATATGTGGATGTTTTGCCTGCATGTGTGTCTGTACACCATGTGGGTACTGTCTGCAGAGGCCAGAAGAGGACACTGGATTCCCTGGACCTGGAGTTACAGATACAGATGGTCGTGGGCTGCCATGTGGGTGATAGGAACTGAATCCCTCACCCTCTAAGCCATCTATCTCTCCAGTTCCTTTAAACTGTCCTCTTTGATATTTATGTCACCAGGCCTCTAATTTCCTTTGATTTGATAGTAATTATTGCTAAGCCATCTTTCTTTCAATTTTTCATACAGGTCGTGAAAGTGTGGGACTTTGAAACTGGAAGACAGGTGTCTGAATTTATTGGGACTCATGGCAATGCTGGTATCACCTGTCTGACTTTTGACTCCAGTGGAAGAAGGTAAACCCTTTCTCTGGAGTCCAGAACCTTTCAGTAGGGTGATCTGGGTCATGTCATCCTAGGGGGAAAATCTGTTTCCTAGGCTCGTCACTGGGGGCAGAGACGGCTGTCTGAAAATATGGAGCTACAACAATGGACACTGTCTTCACACCCTTCAGCATGGCAAGTGAGGCTGGGCTTCTCCAGCAGTGTTCCCCTGTCAGAAGCTGTCTTTGTGGGGCTGCAATTGGAACCAGCCAAGCATCCCCAAGTTTGTACCTGAGTGGAAGTGTGTGGATGAGGGAAAGGCTAACTATAGAAGATAAAGAAAAGACAGAGACACAGAATAAAAGTCAGGAGGGCAGATCCAGTTAATACTGAATTGCCATGAGTTTATTTTTCACCACTCTTATATACCATAACCAAACAGGGTAGCATGTATACTGAACAGACTTTTCTTCCTCCTTTCTCTATGGGCTCAGTAACCACACCTTCGATTCAACTTGTCCCCTAGCCTTGAGAGTCAGGAGTAGTCACACCTCAAACCAGGTCTGTTGTTATTTAGAATAAGACAGACAAACATCCTACTGTGGCCAGGCCTTTGACCTCTAGGTCTTATGACTTGCTGAGGACAGTTTTGAACTCTCTGCCCTTGTGCCAGGATGGAGTGCAGCCATCCTTATGGGCACTGGCACTCCCCATACAGTACTGACACACACTTGGCACCTACCATAAATGGAAAAGGAAACAAGTGGGAAGGAACCAAATGGGGGCAGAGTCTACAGCGTGGGTGACATCTCCACCTCCCCTCTCTCCGTATTTCACATTATTCAGTGCTGCTGAGCTTGAGTTTCGTGGGGATATGCTCACAGAAATTAAATGCTGCTCTCTTATAAATCTCCTCACCTGCCCCAAGGCTACTCATTCATTCCTTTGCTTTATCTATTTTTGGTTAAAAAAGAAAAAAAAAAAAAGTTCCTCAATTCTGGCCTGTAAAATGCTAACAGAGCAGGTAAGATGCACATTCTTCAACTACTACAGGGGAATAAATAAAGTCCAGGTGAAAGAGACATGAAACTAAAATTATGAGTCTCGTTCCTGAATCTGCTTTGACCTCCTCATGACCGTCTGCCCATTCACTCACTTGGCCAGTCACATGCTATCGGATCCTCTCAGGAGAAGCCAAGCCTCTTCCTGTAGCCAATCAAAGGCAGACTCAGGGAAGGCTGCCATTAATGAATGATGCTTTGTTGATCTGGGTGACATTTGATCCCGTGCTGAACACTAGAAAACAATGAAGTCTGTTCTGACCATCAGGACAACGTATGAAAGCTGAATTAAGAGTTAATAGAGAAAAATGTTTGACATAAGATGATAATGTATTTCTAGATGAAAATCAAAGTGAAGTCTGTGATTGTACCTACATGGAGGTGAACCAAAATAGGTAAGTTTCATTCACCTTCATATATTTAATTTATAGGACCTTCCCCCCACCACCACCACCCTAGTTGTAAAAACAATTAGTTGTATTAGTTAGCTTTTCATCACTGTGGAAAAAATAGCTGAGATAAAGTGGGAGTGGTATTTTGGCTCACAGTTTCTGGGTCTCAGTCCATCATCAGCTGAGGTCTGTGGCAAGGTGGGAACGTCGTGGAAGAAAGGCAATGGTACAGGAGAGATACTCACATCATGGTAACCCAGAAAAAAAGTGAGTCAGACACAAAAGCCAAACACAAGATACAGCCTTCAAAGTCATATCCCAGTGGCCCACATCCTACAACTAAAATCCACCTCTCTTTTTCCTTCTTTAGAAGATTTACTCATTACATATACATGTGTGCCACATCCATGGAAGCCAGAGGCCATAAGATAGGTGCCCCAGAACTGGAGTTACAGACAGTTGGGACCCACCTGATATGGGTGCTGGACCCAAAACAGGAGTGGGGGTTCCTCTGCAAGAACTGAACTGTCAGTGCTCTTGGTCAGTGTGTGATGGCCACCATGTAAGGCCACTGTGTGATGGTCACTTTGTGAGCCCAGAGGCTCAGCAGTTAAGAGCACTGATTTTCTTGCAGAGGACCCAGTTCTGGGCTCCATGGGCACCAGAGATACATGTGATGCACATACATAGAAGCAATCTTAACACCATGTATTCATAAGATAAAATAATAATTATTACAAAAATAAAAGTTTTAAAAATTCAAAGTAACAAATCAGAGTGGAGCAAGTTAATTCAACCACCATAAACCAAAGAATAAAAACACAGTAATTCCTTCCTGGACACTAACAGAGTGAAGCAATCTTTGGGCCATTTCTGTGAATAGCTGGGGGGGAGGGGGCGGTAGTGTCAAACATGCCCTAAAGATCAAGCCATTCCCAGGAAGGCAGCTGCTCACAGAGGATCTGTAGACCTCAGAAATGATGGGATGGCCTGTTTCTGGCTCCCGATGCTTTAACAACTGACCCTAATTTATCAAATTCCATTTCCCATTGTTCTCCATTACGTTGGAAAAGCTCATATCAATTTTCGTTGATGTTGTGGATAGGGCAGAGTTAAACCACAAAATTAGTTCCATATAAAAGTAAACCAATGGAAGCTGAAGTGTTAAAATGTAACTTTTTGTTGTTGTGTTGCCTTAGGTGTGTCATAGCTGTTGGATGGGACAGAAGAATAAATGTGTATTTTGTAAGTGAAATGTAACACATGAAGACATTTCAAAAACCCTCCGCTTAGGTGGACTTTCCTCCCTCCCTCTCTCTCATTTTTAGTGTGTTTTTATTAGTTTTAATTGTTTGGGGGTGTGTCCACATGTGAGATACGCATGTGAGTGTAGGTGTCTACAGAGGCCAAAAGCACTGACTCCTCTAGAGTTAGAGTTAAGAGTTGAGTGCTGAGAACTGAACTGGAGTCCTCTGAGCCATCCCTCCAACACCCTGCCTCTCTCTCTCTCTCTCTCTGCCTCTCCGTTAAGAGTAGATTAGAAGCCAGGTGGTAGTGGCACACACCTTTAATCCCAGCACCCAGGAGGCAGAGGCAGGCAGATCTCTGTGAGTTTTTGGCCAAACTGGTCTACAGAGTGAGTTCCAGGACAGGCTCCAAAGAAATACAGAGAAACCCTGTCTTGGAAAACCAAAAGGAGAGAAAAAAAAAAAAAAAAAAGGAGCAGATTTGAATATGCTTTTGCTGCCTGATATAAGACAAGTGACATGCACAGGGTTCCCTCTCTTTATTTTTCCTTCTTCTTTCCTCCTTCCTCCCTTTATTTCTTTTGAAAGACGCCCCCACTACCCCCCCCCCCCAGTATCTTCCCAATGTTTCTCTTGAGAGGATGTGCCAGCTAGGAAAGCTGTCAGGATCTCTGGGTTCCTGGGAACCCTAAGGTGCCTTCACAGGTCTTGAGTTCTCCGGATAGCTCACACTTTCTCCTGCTCCCACCACCTACATCTCCTCCACCCCAGCCTGAGGGGTTTCCCAGCCTGCTTGTGAAAACACTGGTCTTAGGGGAAGACTTTTGCTTTCTTCCTTCCTCCCAGCCTATCTTTTAGAGCTTCCTAGAGCCTCTCCAAGCAGGAAGAGGAAATGAAAGGACACCCATAGGCATATCTACAGACACGAAATCCCTCTTTATGGGGGGGATTAAGAGACAGAAGTTTAAAGCACTGCCCAAAACTAAGTTTTAAATCTACCTGTGACATTTTATTACCATGCTTGCTATACTGGGTGGTCCTGGCTTTCCAAATGCATTTAAACGCTGTCCGGGCTCCTTATTCATTTGAAAGTTCACTATATTTCACAGCCTAAGCCTTGCATCCTGAGAGTGATTTGAGAGATGAATACCTGGGAAGTTTCAGCACTGAATTTGTCCTTTGGTATTACAGCTTTCGAGGCTGATGGCTTTGGGTTCAGCCCAGGAAACAGCTCTGGGTCTTATTATGAAGGCAAAGTTATGCGGTGGATAGAGAAGAGCTTGTCAGTTGACATACGATTTGCTGAAATGCAATCACCCAGACGTCAGGAGTGGATTGCTTTTTCTTCCCACTGGCACTTGGGGAATTTGCTTTGACATTTCAAAAATCTGCATCAGTGGTGGGGTGAGGGGTAGGGTTATGAAATGTGCCAACACCTTCTCTCTGAAGTTGTGAGTGTGTTGGCAGCTCATTTTATGGCTCACACAATGTGTCCTGTTTGGCTTTGAATACAGGACATACCTTGTGATTTTCATCACTTCTGGAAGCCTCAACCCCACTGGCAGGATGACCTGGTGAGCCACAACTACTGAGTGGCCCTCAGTGCACACGGTAGCACACAAGGAACATCTCCTTCACTCAAGGGGCTACCCTACATTTCCTGGACCTACCACACATGTTCAGTTTCCCAAAAGCCTCTGCTATGTATGGCAAAATTCTTGCTCTCATAGAACAAGGTGCACTGAGGTCCAGGCAGATGTCTCCTTTCTGGGAAAGGTGATGGCCCCAATGTTCAAGTAGTGGTGTGAGGCCAGAGGGCAAGGTTCCACACTGCTCTCCATGAGGCTAGCTGGGAGTCCCCATGTATGGGAAGCTCAAGGTGGGGAGGGTGTGTGTTTTTGCCAAGAAGCATTCATTTCCTCCTTCTTCTTGGTGAGCCAAATTGCATTCACCATGTCATGACATTCCTGACTCCCCATGGCTGGTTAGAAGCCCAGAGCTGGGGAGTGGCTTGCGACGCTTATTAGGGATCAGAATGTTCCAGCACTCTATAGCTTCCCAGGGATGAATGACTTCCTTCAAAACTGTCTGGGTGTCAAAGCAGCAAGACAAATGTACAGAAAACAAGGCCACCCCACCCAACTGTCTGCCACTGCCCCACCTACCTCATGTGCCCCATAAATATTTCAGAGGGCGCACGTCACTAGAATACAAACTCCATTATCTTAGTTAGGATTACCATTGCTGTAATGAAACACTGTGGCCAATGAAACTTGGGAGGAAGAGGCTTTATATGGCTTACACTTCCACATCATAGTCCACAATTAAAGGAAGTCAGGACAGGGACTCAAACAGGGCAGGAACCTGGAGGCAGGAGCTGCTGCAGAGGCCGTATTTAAGGGTGCTGCTTACTAGCTTGCTCAGCCTGCTTTCTTATAGAACCCGGGACCACCAGTCCAGGAATGGCACCACCAACATGGAGTGGGCCCTCCCCCATCAATCACTCATTGAGAAAATGTCCCACAGGTATTTTTATTTTCAACTCCTCTCTGATGACTCTAACTTGTGTCAAACTGACATAAAACTAGCCAGTACATCCCTGAAGCCAGTCCTTACCTGTCCTCCTCCTACTAGTGCCCAGCTTAGAATAATTGCCCAGTGACTAAGTTTTCATTCATTCAGCATCCACTAAGTGCCTCTTGTGGATCAAATATTCTTTATAGTGAACAAGCTCTGACACGGCCTTGTCTTCGAAGAGCTTGCAGTTTAACTAGCATCGAGGGAAGTAGTAAAGCTATATACAAGGTTCCCCGGGGGCCATGGCCTATGGATGTCACACTGGGTCAGTGAAGTGCATCTGCTGCCCTTAGTCCTCCATCATGCACACATACCTGTGCAGCACTCTATACTCGTGCATAATGATGCACAAGTTAACACACTGGATGAGGATAAAATATGGGTTATGTATTTTATTCTGGGACAAGTCACTTACATGAGAAACCAATGACCCACAAGTTCCCGCTCCAAGGATCCACAGCCAGGCGGCTCTCCATTACCCGTCCAGAACCAAGAGAACAAGCCTGTCCCGAACCCCAGACCAAATACTGCATGGTCACCTACACACCTGTGACATGGTCTCTCACTACACATGCACTTAGGAGGCAGGCAGAGGAGAGACAAATAGGATTCTTGAGATGCCCCCCCCCCAGGCAGGTGAGCAACAGAGGAGATAGGAAGCATGGAACCTAACAAATGAAATGATGATAAGTAATGATCACGATTTGAAAGCCACTAGCTTTGCTGTAACGGTATCTGAAAGATCACGAGGGTTTTTTTCCTGAAGGGAAAGATAATCTTCCTGAGGACCAAGAGGAGAGGTTTGAGCACAGCATGGTGGCATAGAAGTATGTTGTCTGGAAGGACTGTGGGGAGCCTGGCTGATTGGCACATTAAGAGTGGGAGGAAAGATATGCTAATGAGCTGCCCTAGCAGAATGTGCATGCTATAATGCCTAAACAACAGAAATCTATTTCCCTGAGTTCCAGTCCTGACGTCGGGGTGCCAGCATGGTCCGGTTCTGGTTAGGGTTCCCTTTCTGGCTTTCAGATAGATAGCTGACTGCTGTCAATATCTCTTTGCTATGTCCTCACACAACAGAGAGAGCATGAGCTGTATGCTTCTTCCTGTTTTTAGATGGATGCTAATCCCAACATGGGGACCACATCCTCTTGAGCTCATCTGATGCCAATAACCTCTCTAAGTCCCATCACTTTGGGTTAGGGTTTTGACATGTGAATTTGAGGGTAGGACACAAACATGCAGCCCAAGAATAGAAAAGAAAACTTTGTTCTACAGTTGGGGTAGGACATTGTGGAATAGTAGGGTAGGAGTGGGGATCTGGCAGTAGAGGATCATGGGAAAGAGATAGCCATTACCTTTCTCTTTCCCAAGTCTGGCATTATAATCCGTGTTTAAACAGAGCCTCTAAGGTGATCAAGCCAAGTCCTCAAAAGACACCCTGTGAGTACATGAGGTCAAGGGTAGAAGGGATGCTGGAGTGAGGACATACTGCTTCCCTAAGAACGTTAGGGCCCTAGAGGTGATGGCCAAGCAGAGACATGCAGCAGCACTGTGATTGGCATGCAGACAGAGTCGCACTCACAAGAAGAGGTAGAGGTCCCTGAGATCCCCTATGCATCTGATTTTAGGGATCAAGTTATCCCTAAAGTGGCCCTAGGTGACTTGGGCTCTGTCTTTCTTTCCTAGAACCATGGCCACAAAGAGGACATCCTCTGTGTGGCTCAGTGCCCGCCTTTTCTTCTGGCCACCTCCAGTTATGATGGAGAGATAATAGTGTGGAATGTCATCTCGGGCCACATGTACTGCAAGCTGAACCCTCCCAGCCCCATGGATGGCCAGGACCATAGAGAAGGTAGGTAAGGGGAAGCCTCTGTACACTGATGGACAGCCCCTGCCCCCATCAACTTGAACTTGGTGACTCCATGCTAGGCCACTTCCTGTTTGGGGCAGGGCAGGGGTAGCAGGAGGTGGGGGTGTGGGGGTGTGTGGGGGAGGGAGAGAACTGGCCTCCTGTCATGTTTCTCTCCCAAGGCTAGGATGAAGCTTAAGTCCAGCCCACATCTCTGGACACCTGTCCATCAGTCTGCTCCCAACCTGAAGCATGTCCCCACTGAGCCTCCAGCATTGCTGCCACCATTCTTCCTCTTAGGCCTCTATTACCATCTACCTGACACACGATTCCTCCACCCAGCTAGCAAGCCTGTCTCCCGGTCCAGCCCAGACACTGACATCCCCTCAACATCTCACCCAACTGCCAGTTTTCAGGCTTCCATGGTGTCCTCAGCCTCAGCCTTCTCTGGTGACCTGGACCCACAGATCTCCTGCCTCAATTCCACCTTATTGTTCCAGTATTCAATTGCGAAACTTCATCCCCCCCACTCGGTGGATTTGTTTGCCTGATTCCATTTCTTTTCCTTTCCTTTTTTTTTTTTTTTTTTTTTTTTTTTTTTTTTTGAGACAGGGTTTCTCTCTGTAACCCTGGATGTCCTGGAACTCACTCTGTAGACCAGGCTGACCTCAAGGCCTCAGACTCACAGAGACCCACCTGCCTCTGCCTCCTGCGTACTGGGATTAAATGTATGCGCCACCACTGCTCGGCTAGCCTGGTTCCATTTCTTCAGGGCCCTCTCTGCGAATGGGCATAGCTTCATTCACTTCTGTAGTCATTAAAGCAATGACGAGACACACCTGCGGTATGCCTGGCCGAGAGCTAAGTGTTGAGGGTTAAATCCAATCAGAGTCCTCTCCTGAATCCTGAACTTCTTCACAATCATGTGTGGCCAACAAGGCACAAGTAGGAATGTCTACCAGCTTTACTGCAGGGTGTTCAGGGCTGGAAACTGGCTATAGCCAAATAGGCTTCCTCCCCAAGCCACCCCACCAACCAGCCCAGTATGGAAAGGAGGAGATACAGGAAGTTAGTTGTTTGAGCATAGAATTAAGGAAAACCTTTCATTTCCTGAGGCTCAACCCACAAAGCCTTAGAGAACCATGAGCCAACATTAGATCCTTGCTTTAAGCATTTGAAAACTCAATAGCAATTAAAAAAAAAAAAAATCTCTGAGTCATTCAGTCAGAAAATAATTCTGAACTGCTTGAAGAGGCATAACACTCTGAGGAGTGACATCAGAGCTATATGATCTACAGGAGGCTCCTGGTCCAAATGCAGAGACAAGCTGTGGGTACAGGCAGTTTAAAAAAAAAAAAGTCAAGTCACGTGGTCAGCTTGAGCGCCACCTAGAAGAGAGAGATGCTAAAACCTCCTCCGGCAACCTAGACATAAGGGAGTCTTGCCTGCAGACCTCGTCAGTTCCTAATCCCCTTTTCTCCACTAGTTTATTGAAGTCATGTTCCAAACCAACCCCCAAAAGATTCTTCTCTGCAGTTCTCTCTGAGAACATCTAACCATTTATTTTTGAGGGTTTTTGTTTGTTTTTGTTTTTTTGTTTTGTTTGTAAATATTTTGGGAGGAAAGAGATGGTATCCATTGCATTCCAGAAGTTTATTTTCTTTGACATTAAAATGAAATTAAAGTCACTGGCCAAGACTAAACTGTAAGCAATCTCTTTTTTGAGAAGCCCTTTTGTTACAGAAACACAAATCCAGTCAAGTCCACGGTAACACTTCCACAAGGTAAAATTCTCTCTCTCCCTTTCTCTCTCTCTCTCTTTCTCACACACACACACACACACATGCACAATCACACACACTCTCTCTCCCTCCCTCTCTCTCTCTCTCTCACACACACACACACACACACACACACACACACACACACGAGCACACACACTTTCACACAATACATGTGCTCTCTCTCACACACACATGTACACATATACTCACATGTACACACTCTCCCTCTATATCTCACACACACATGCACACACACACTCACACTCTCTCTCACCCACACATGCATGTACACACACTCACGTACAACCCTCTTTTTCTCTCACACACACATGCACATACTCTCTCTCTGTCTCTCACACACATCACACACTCACACACTCTCTCACACACACTCACACACATACAAGCTCTCTCACACACATGCACACACACTCACACACACATCCACATCCACATCCACACACATGCATGTATATACACACTCTCCCTCACATACACTCACACTCACGCATTCTCTCCCCCATACACACTCACACACACTCTCTCTCTCACACACACACACACTCACACACACTCTCCCTTTCTCTCTCTCACATACACTCACATACTCTCTTCCCCCATATACACACACTCACACACACTCTCTCTCTCTCTCACAGTCTTCCTCTCTCTCACACACACACACATGCAGACACACGCACGTACACATACACTCTCTCACACACACAAGCTTTCTCACACACCTGCTTGTACACACACACTCTCCCTCTCTCACACACACATACACTCACATACTCTCTTCCCCCATATACACACACTCTCTTTCACACACAAACTCTTCCTCTCTCTCTCTCTCTTTCACACACACACACACATGCAGACACACAAACACACAAGCTTTCTCACACACATTCATGTACACACACACTCACACATACACTACCCTCTCTCTCACACACACATGCATGCGTGCGCACGCACGCACACACACACACACACACTCACACACACAGTGGTATACCCTTTCAAGAAAGGGCAGCCTGGTGGTTTCTGAACCGTCATGTCAAAGCTCAAGGAGGATGGTGAAGAGGGTGCCATCTTGTATGGAAAACTACAGGTCTCCTCAGGGAAGGGGCTTGCTCTGCTAGTGACACAAAGCTGGACTAGATGAAGTTATTATTTGGCTAGTGCACTAATGCGCTAGCTGCATTCTTTGGCATAATAGGGACTGTTGATTCTTCTTTCCCATCAGAAAGAATCTGATTGTGAGAGAGATCAGGGGATTCCAACCAGGCTGAAGTTTAGGAAAAGTGTCCCATCAGAGATGGAGGAGTTTTATGTAGGGACGTAATCACTACTCACTGGTTAACTCTGTCATCAGGCACTTTTCCACAGCTTATTTTAGCTGCTCCTCACACTGACCCTGAGACATAGGTGCTGTCTACCAGCTTCCATCAATGGGGAGCCTGGCACGTGAGAGTTCAACAGTAATCACTGTTAACAGTTGCCAAGGGTTGAGTAATTTTGAGAGGGGCACTTGGGGATCATTAATCCCTTCAGCCTTCACAGTGAGGTCGTATAAAGGACTTGCATGATATACCCTGTGAAGGATAAGGTCATCTCCATGTAACAGATAGACACAGCTGAGGTACCAGGAGGTGAAACATATTCCCAGACTTCACATGGGTAAGAAAGAGGCTGGCATTCCTCACCATACTTCTGCCACCATCCCTGGGATGGGTGTGGGCAGGTAAACGGACTTCACCTTTGGACCCGGGAGCTTTAGGGAAGTGTCTGAGCATCCTGGGCTAACTCCCATCCTGACCCCAGGGCCCATGGCTGTTTATGCTGTCTGGGCTTCTCAGATCTCTCAGCCTGTCCTTGTAGCTCATACCGCATTCCCATTATTTTTCTAGAAGTCCTAGGGTTGGGGGAAGTGAGGGTTGGAGTGCGCACAGGCTGCTGGAGCCATTATCCTTCAGCCCCTGGCTAGATTTTTAGCCAACGAGGCCATCTTTCTCTGTTTGCTTTCCAAACGTTGCCAGGGCAGCTATGTGCAAGAGAGATGAATATAATATGTCAGAGAAAGAGAATGAGAGCAAGCTACTGAGGGAAAGACAGAGAGAGGAAGAGGGAGGAGAGGAAGAGAGATGAATGCACGTGCTTGCTTGCACGCGCGCGCATGCGCACACACACACACACACATTCAGTGGGGGCATCGTGATGGAGTGGGGGGGGGTCAGGTTTAAGGCAGAGAGACTGTGAAAACAGACAGAATTGCTTTTATTTCCAGGCCCAGACAGAAGTGTTTCCCAACTCGCCTTCCTAAAGACTCGGGCAACAAAGTTGGACTCTGCATCTGCTTCTCTCATAAGCAATGGGCCCAGAGGTGAGCCTCTCACTTCCAAGATAAGGCCACCCTGGTCCAGGACGGGTGAGTTAGGCACCTGAGTGGCACGGTCACCTCAGGCTTCCTCTGCAGTTTCATCACTGGCCTTACTAACAAACCCCAGGCTAACAGCCCAGCCCACGTGAACCTCAGCAGACACTACAGGAAGACAGTCAGGTAGCTAGGCCCTCAGCCCATCTTCCTTCAAACCAAGACTCCATCCATGCCCTGTTCCAACTGCCTGCTGGACACCCGCCACCTGCAAGAGCAATTGGCCTGAGGCATGCCAAGGAGAGTGTGAGGCCATCCAATCAGGCTAAACAGAAAAGCACAAGACGAAGGAAGCTGGCATAGGCAGCCACAGGTAGCCCTACAGAGGAACCAGAGAGAAAGGCGGAAGGGTCACACTGTGAAGAGTCAGCCGGATGTTGGGGTCAGCAATGGAACTGGCAGTGTACAGAGAAGAAAGAGAGGGTTCAGCAGGGGCCATCAGCTAGCTGGCTGGCATAACCCAGAGGCGGGCCCTTCAAGCTTCAACTGTAACAAGAGGGCCCAAATCCAGCCGCCAAACACTCTAGGACTTTTAGTAAAATTACAAGTTAAAGGCAGCAGCCATGCTGTCCTGGTAGCAGGGGGAGGTTAGGCTAGATATATATTTGGTCCGAGGGTGCTTGGTTGTTTGTCACCAATGAGAAGCCACCTCTGCCTCCTTGTCACAGCCCCACACTGTGGAGCTTTTGGTATCAGTGCTGTTGTGGATGGTGGTGGTGGTGGTGGTGGGGGGGGACCAGCTGGCTCTGCCTCCTTCCTGAGTCACCATTCTTTTCCTTCCTGTTTTACCTGGTGGGAGCGCAGCCCTCTCTCTCCTAAGAGGAGAGCAGGGTTCTACAGCTAACCCCAAGAGGAGATGCCCACCACTTCACAATGCCTGGATACCTGAACCCACAAGTAAACCACAGGCAAGAAATGATGAGGTTGCTAGGCCAGGTGCATTCTGGCAAGTTTTTAATTAAAATAGTGCTCACTCCCACACACCCTAACAACTGGAAGACATTAAATCCCAGCATGGCACATACTGCCCTGCCCTTAACAGCCAAAAAATGAAACCCTCCTCTGCCAAGTAGACCCCTGATTAGTGGAGGAGAGCCCACTGAATCATCAAAATCAAAACCCCTCCGTAATGTGGTCTTACAGTTCTAACTGAAGAAAATACACCAAATAAGGAAGAGATGTTTGCCCCTGGTGTGAGACCACAGGTTGCTGTTTTACCTTCCTCATAGTGGCTGCGCTTGCCAGTGCCCCTCCCGGCATTAAGGCAGTGGGGGAGGGGGGGTGCAGGGGATTCTGTTTCTCCAGACAATGGCTCTGTTACTGCCACTAAAGGTAGTTGTAACTAAGTCTCTATCCTCTAATACAACTGGAGATTCAAAGGTTAGGGTGAAAACCTGCAAGCTCAGAGAGTTAGAATAGCAACTGGCTAGCTTTCTGTCTTTGCTGCAACCCTGGAAGCCACTCTCTTCCCCCACCACCCTCCACAAACAAACAAACAAAATATGCTAAGCTCCTACCTGCTACTTCTGGTCAAACAGATGCCAACCCCACCTCTCTGAGTCCAGGCTTATTTAATTAACGCAAGTGAAACATTCTGTCGTAAACAAAAGCAGCATGAACAAATGTAACACATCTTTGCCTAATTAAACAAATATTCATTCCCACAACAATTGGGTCTGCCCAGTATACATTCCCAGCCCTCAGCTGGCACATGCCCCTTACTGCTTCCCTCCTACTTAGGTTCTGTCACTTTCTGGAAACTCTTTAGTGAGGCTGGCCTCATTGCAAACTTCACCCCGGTAAGTTGCAGGGAACAACTGGGTAGCTTTCTGGCTATGGGTTTGTTTTGTTGCCGTTGTTAGTTTGTTGTTGTTGTCGTTGTTATTGCTTGCTTGTTCCCTGACACTAACCTATGTATTGGGATTGTCAACCAGGCTCCCATTCTTCCCTTTGATATCTTCCTGACATTTCTCCCTGACTGGGGTTGGTTACCTTCTTATTATCTTTGCCTTCAATGTGTCTCAGTCTAGAGGGAAAGCCCAGGTGAGCAGCATCGTGGTGACATCAGAAGACACACTCATCTATCTGGCTGACCATCAAGGCTTTGTACATGTCTATGACATTCAGGAGTATGGTCTCCAGGGACCAGAGCTTCAGGCACCCAACAGTATGCAGTGAATTTCTTCATGTTAAACCTTAGATAAGATTGCTTTGGTTTTGGTGATTGCCTTGTGGGGAAATTAAGTTGTTCCAGTGGGGAGGGGTTACTCTTAAAGCCCTTGAAAAGCAGAAATACGGTTTCCTGCAAACATGTGATGTCAGCAAGGATGCAGGAAAGGGGCATCAGATAACATGGAACTGGGCTGATTGCTAGATGGTGGCAGAGGGGCATGTTGACAACCTGTGTCTAGTGCTGCAAAGGATAGTTGTACTCCTAGATATTTGGTGAAGGAAATGACAAATGTACACAGTGATTTACTTGCAAGACTGTACAACACATTATTTATCAGAGAGAGAAAACACTTACATGAGGAACATAGTTTGTATTTCCAACACTCAAATAAAAGGCGGGTACACACACCCTTACATCCCCCATCCCTTCACTCCTAAGAGAGGATGGTGGGCATGATGGCCCACCTGTAATCCCAGCACTCAGGAGTTGGAGACTGAGGACCACCAGGGCAAGCTGACCAGCTAGATTAGAACCTATCAATGAACCCTGCCTCAGTGGATAAAGTGAAGATCAAATGGAACAAGACCCCAAACATCAACCTTGGGGTCTTTATATCTGTATATGTATGGGCACACACACACACACCTATACCTACACACTTGTAAACTTGCAAGCATACCATGTACATATACATATACACATGAATAAAGATCACTGAGGAAAATCATTGTGCAAGTATGTCACACTGCTCCTATTTCACACACGTTCAGAGCTGGTATTGGGGTGGGGGTCTTGCACATAGTAGGTGCATGGTGCTTACTTAGAGAATTAAAGCAGAAAGTGGGTGCCACTCTCAACTGGGCACACACACATTGCACTAGACACCTTCCTGCAGGATCCTGTTCAGATGTCTTCTTTATTTTTACTTAGCAGTGACATCCTGGAGGGCTCATGTCGGCATGGTAACATCGTGAGTACCATCCCTTGAATAGTACGGTAGTCTATAAAGGAAGGGAAATAATTGTTCAAGTTTTGATCAGATCAATCCTCTTACGATCGCTGTGAGTTTGTCAAAGGAGAAAAGCTGCATTTCCATTCTGCCCCTGATAAGACAAGAAGAATGTGGTCCACATGGAGCCAGAGGAAGAGACTGAGTCATTGTTTTCCTTGTTCATGAATAGTACTCCCTGTACTGAGCTGGCATTCTACTGCAAGTTCATGAGCTTAGTAGGTCTGGGTTTATATGAGGCTTGAAAGGAGCCAGTCCGAAGACAGGAACCCAACTTGCTAGGTCATTCTTTTTGATTGCTTGCTCCTCCACCACCCACCTGATCACCTGCAAAGCTATAGATCCCCCTTTGTTATGATCACTTTCCCACCAGCCTGGTCCCACAGCCACGTTAGCCCCAAATAACACACGGAGACACTGTATTAATTATGAAAGTGTTGACCAGTGACTAGCATTTCTTACTGGTAACTCTGTCTTAATTATTAACCTTTAATTACTAAATATGTGTTTACTGAGAACGCCAGACTCACACATTGTGACTCATCCTACATTTCCCAGAATCCTCCTCATCTCCTAGTCCTATCCTGCTTCCCTATTGGCCAACAGGGCGTTATTCATTAACCAATAAGAGAAACATATTTACAGAATGACATCTCCCATCACCCCTTGATGTCTTGGGAGTGTTCTTGGGATTTTGGAGGGTGCATGGTGTGAGAGGAGGTAGGGGAAAGAATGGCTTTTAAAAATGTATCTATTGTGTTGCAGAGCAGCCTTGACAAACCTCTTCTCCCCTTTATCTTGCTAGTCTGGAGCTGATAGAGGGAGATGGCATCTTACTGTCCTCCTCCCTTGACTGCACTGTGAGCCTGTGGAGCAAAGACGGCGCGTACATCGGTAAGGTTCTACCTCTGCTTGGTTCAGAGCCAAAGGTGCCATGGCTCCTGTGGTAAAGTATGTTAGTGTGTTCAGACTGCCATACACAGGGTACCATAGACTGGGTAGCTCATTAACTCGTCTCAGTCTAGACTTTGGAGGTCCAGGATGGTTGTCTATACATGGCCAGGCCCTGGTGAGGAATCATCTCAGGTCTCAGAGCACTGGCCTCTTGATGAACACATGTTGGAGACAGCTCTCTACTGTCTTTTACAAGAACATTAATGTTATTAGGTCTCATGACCTTATTTAAAGTTACTTACCTCACCAGAGTCCCTGTCTCCAAATGCTGTCACCTTGGGGGTTAAGGCTTCAACACACACATTTTTGGGTGATGTGATTTGGTCTGTACCATAACATCAGCTTCCTGTCTCCAAAATTAGAAAAACAAAAACCAAAGACCTTTGAACTCATCGAGATCAGTGGACTGAAGGTAGTCACTTTGGGAAGGGACTATTTTATCATAAGGATTATATCTAGATAGAGACATTCGGCTGTATGGTAGGCAAAGGCCTGGCATATATTGACCATAGCACCAAGACTAGCCTAATCCACTGCTCAGAGAGACTGTGGCCTGTCTGAATGTGGTATCCTGACCCTTGGCTTGCGTTTCTTGAAATAGAAATGTGACTGATTGAATTTTATTCAAGTTCTTAGTACATTATTGATTACCCTGCACACTTACATGGTAGGAGGCTTTCTAGGATTCTCTTTCAAGGCCTAAATGTCCTATACTTGTTTCCTATGAAACTTCCAGGGCACAGCTTAGCTGGACTAAGGTGACCTTGCCAGTGTTGAGGAGATCTGTCCATGTTAGCAGTTAAAAGACAGGTTACCTATTGTCATTTGTGTGATATTTATCTTTATTCCTCCAGGGACCTTTGGGCAAAATCACCCCTGGGATGTTTTCACTCCTGCCTCCTGGAGTCACCCAAGAGTTCCCTTTGAGATTCTGACAGATCCTCAGAGCATGCCCACCCACCTGGTACTGGAAACAGATGCTCCTGATGGGTGCTCTGGAGGATGGCCTGAGCAGGACAATGTGATGGAGAAGAAGGTCCTGTCTGAGGTTGGTGCCTGAACCAACCACTTGTGTTTCCTTCCTGGGTTCTCTGCTGATCAGTGGGGCACACATATAGGCTAAGAGAATCAAAGCAGGATCTGGTGAACCCTGGCAACAGGGGAAAGAGAGCCCATCTCCTCCATCCTGGGCAATGGCACTGATATGGACCAGGAGGACACATGTTCTGTCTGTGGCTATAGAAAGGCAGCTGTCCCTGGCCTTGGGACCCAGTAGTATGCTCAACCCTAGTGTCACATCTGAGAAAGGCAGACCTTTCTCAGCCCATACTTTATTCTGAGAAGCTTTTAAAACCAGGGTCTCCTAATAACTGAGAGGAGGCTGTGGTCCACGAAATGTTCAACTCTATGAGAGTTAACATCGGAGCAACAGATTTGGAAAAGGCCCTGGTCAATGCAGCCTTGATTTAGAGTTCCCATGAAAGATATGGCTTTCTAAGAAATGTGTGCCCCTTAATAAATTGAGAAGAAGGTCATTTCATGAGCTATCACTTGTCAGCTATGTCACAACTCAAAGCAGGACACTGCTCTGCCAGCAGAATCATGCCTGCAGCATTTCCTTGGGAGCCTCACAAAATACAGACCTTCCAGTATAACCCATCCACTGACTCCAGTTTAGAACCCCAAGGTGATCAAAATAGACACAAAGGATCCAGGCCAGCATACTCGAGGGACAGCCCCCACCTCACCTGACTCACCGCTCCAGTCTCAAGTCTATCAAATGATAACCACGGCTACAGCCTGGGGACACTTAGAATGTGGCTTGCACTGTTGGCTGATTTAGAAACAGTCATTGCAGCCAACATTCAACGGGGGAGAATGCTGATGTGTTCATTAGTTCTGATAGGCCCATAATTTGGAAAACAAAAGCTCAGGCGGAGGTGGGAAGAGAGAAGGGAGGGGGAAAAAATAAAAAGACAAAGCCCCAGCAAGTTCTTGTGTTCAGAGGCAGACCTAGGGAGAAATCCAAGTACAGGGTCAGTGGTGGGGGGGGCAGGTAGGGGGTGAGTGGGGGTGTTCCTAGAGGACAAAGTGGGAGGAAGAGGAGACAAAGAAGAAAAGAGGAAAGGTGGAGGCAGGAAGAGGGATGGAGTGGGAAGAAGGCAGATGATGCTTGGTGTTATGACAAAATAAGTCATGGTGTGCTTGCTGTCCAAGGCTGAACAAAGTCTTCCTGAGTGATCTTGATCTTGTCTAAGAAAATATCATTCCAATCAGTCGGACTACAGTAGGTACTTGGGAAACCAGTCAAAAGTTGAAATTAGTTGCTTTTCTATTGCCATGATAAAAAACACACATGACCAAGGCAACTTGCAGAAGAAAGGGTTTGACTACAGGTCCAGAGGCATGCTACCAGCTGCAAGATGGCACAGTAATTAAAAAGCCTCACTTCACAGGTCAGCCCATCAGAGCTCTGCAAACAGGAATTAAACCAAAATGTAGGATGTATTGGAGTTATAGCCTTGTGAATAAAAGTGGCTGTTTCTTGCTGTAAATTTCTTGCTGTAGCTTACTCCCGTCTATTAAAAACTTGGAATTTATTTCCCATAGCTCAGCACTATTTGATCATTTATTGGGCATAGTTTCCCCTATGCAGTTGGAGTATATTGATAACATTCCTCAGCTATGTGTGAAACCTGTTTGCCACCAGCAGGCAGCTGTTCCTTTCTCCAATGTAAATAGAGATCTGCCTTCCTGCAGTTATCTTTACTGGCAGGCATTTGGTCAACTTTAGTGCCCAGGTAAAAGTATTTCATTTAAGACATTCATAGTCACTGGTGATTCATAGCCACTTAGATAGATGAAAAGTAAGCATGCCCTGGTTTTACCTCACTGACAGATAGAGAAGCAAAAACCTAAACCCTGCACTAAAAGATTCTCAAGCGTCTTGTAGTTACCTTCACCTCTGTTCACTAACCCAAGATTTTAGGTCAGTGTTTTCCCCAGAAGATAATGACAAAGGTAATCAGCCCATTTGCGAATCCTCGGGAAAAAGTAAACTTTCCTGAAGGCCTGTGCCACCAAGGCCAGAGCACTGGAAGGTGCCAGGTTCCATTCCCTGTGCCAATTAAATTTAGGTCCTCTCCTTGACTTATAGTCCTAAGCAATTGATGCTAAAACCTCTCTTAACAACAGACCATGGCAAGAGATGCTGCTACAGACTGAAGCTGTATGTATTTCCTCTGCTGTTTATGTAGGTTGCTAGTTACCGCCCACAGCTTACCCCACCCGTTGGAAATGGCATGTGAGAGGCGTGGAAGGGCACATGAAGAAAAGGCAATTTTACCTCATTCATAAGATCTGCTGATCAATAGGCTTTTAGCTTAAATACTTCACCACATTAAAAGAATAGAGATAAGCCCATGATTTCTTCCTTTTAGATTCCCTTGTTGATTTAATCCTGAGTTGGCCCCATCTAGGAGCCCTCAATAACCACACTTACCTAGTGCCATAAAGCATAGCTGACAATTATTGCTCTATGGGTAAATCTTACCTGCTTTGGTGACCCTGAGTAACTCAAGCTTCACATTGCATTGCCAAAAGAATTACTGTTGCAAATGTATACATACCAGTGCACCCACGAGCTCGTGTTCAAACAGTAAAGAGATATACTGCGTGGAAGTCATATGTGAGCTGATTAGCATCTTTTACCCTAGACATTTTCCCTAACCGGCTATGGAGCCTTGGCTGGACCCTGTAGGGATTTAAGGGGGCTGGTGCCCCAAAAGAACCCCAAAGAGGCATAAGAGTCCATCACACCAGGGAGACATGGCAGCAAATGACAGCTAGAGCAGAAGCGGAAAGTTCATGTTCTAAAGACCGACACCAAGAGTGAGCGCTGGAAATGGTACAAGGCTCTGCAAGCCAACAGAGTACACTAGAAATGGCGCCAGTCTTTATAAACACTCAGACCCCATCTCCTATGGCACACTTCCTTCCACAAGGCCGCAGCTCCTAAGCCTCCCATACTGCACATCAGAGGTGGGCTGTCCTGGCTAGTTTCATATCAACTTGAACTTGACATAAGCTAAAGTCATCTGAAAGGGGGGACTCTCAACTGAGAAAATGCCTCCATAAGATTCAGCTGTAGGTCATTTTCTTAATTTGTGATTGATTCGGAGAGGGCCCCACCCATTGTGGGTGGTGTCATCCTGGGGCTGGTGGTCCTGGGTTCTATAAGAAAATAGACTGAGTAGCCATAAGGAGCAAGCCAGTAAGCAGCTCCCCTCCACAGTTTCTGCATCAGCTCCTGCCTCCAGTTTCCTGCCCTGTTTGAGTTCCTGTTCCGACTTCCTTCAGTGATAAACAGTGCTGTGGAAGTGTAAGCCAAATAAACCCTTTCCTCCCGGCTTGTTTTTTGGTCATGGTGTTTCCTCAAAGCAATAGAAATTATAACTAAGACAGGGAGCAAGTATCCAAATACCTAAGACTTTGGGGGGGACTTCTCATTCAAAACCCCACAAAGTTACTTCTTAGATTAAAAAAAAACAAAACAAAACAAAAAACAAAACAAAACAAAACAAAACAAAACAAAAAAAAAAAAAAAAAAAAAAAAAAAAAAAAACCCTGAGCCCTTATATAGTATATTTGGACCAGGAATCCGAAGGGTAAAATTGCAGAATAAGGTGTTTCATTGCTGTTCCTGGGAGAAGGACCCCTGAGTTTCACTGTAAGGTTGATTCATTAGTTATGTGATCTCCAGCAGTCCCTTCTGCTGAGCTATAAAATGAAGAATGTGTTTAGATGATCTAGAAGTTTCTTTCCAGCATTAAAAATTGTGTGCTTGTCTAAATATCCATTAGAGAAAAACCTAATGTATTCATTGGACTCGGAATGTTGGTAGTGCCTCTTCTAAGGTTGTCAGGACCAGCCAACCTGTTCTATCATGCCTGAAAAGGGGAATGAGTATTGAGAAAAGAAAGAGACAAGAGCTGGGAGGGCTTTCAGTGAATACTGCAGCCGCCCCAGCCTTATTACTTATCACCCTTATATGGGGGAGGGCAAAAGACTTCCTTACCATAACACAAGAGACAAGCAAATGTAACTACCTCCTTAACACTCAAAAACATCTAGTAGCCACGCCCTAAGTCAAACATCCTGTTATTTGGTCTTGAGGTGCAAGAATAGGTTTGAACTCTCTGACCTTAATTCAAGATGGAATGGAGTCAATACTGTGGGCTCCCACACAAGATGTCAAAAGATAGCTCACAACCATGGTCAAAGTAAAACTGACAAGGCTGAGAAGAGCTCACAGGAAAATGGTCCATACTAGCTGGTGCTGGAACATAGCACTAAAGCTCCAGGGCAAGTTTTCTTGTTATTTGGTCAGTTCAGCCATCATGGGTCTTGTTCTAACACAGAAAAGCCATGTACCCCACAGGTGGCTCTTGGTCCCAGTTACCGGAGTGGTCATGGTTCATGTCCTCACATCCCTGTCTTCTTCCTCCAGACTGAAAAGGCCCCTAACCCTCCTCCCTCAGAAGGACCCATTGTTGAAGCGGAGGTGAAAGAAGATAAAAGCCAATGGTCTGCGTTTTGCCCTGGCAGGTCAGTCTGGAAAGTCAGGCAGGTCCAAGCTGTTCTTGGCTGAGGCCTGTTATCTGGCCTCACACATCACCAAGGCCCACACATCCATCTTTGCTACCAGCTCTGTAACTGGTGTTGCTGGCCTCAACAGCACGAAAGGCAGTGTGGCCTCACCATCTCTCACACAGGTGCCTTGTATAGCCCTTCTGGCTTCCTGAGGACAAGGGACGAGGAAGAAGACCCCAGGGATCCCAAAGTTGCAAATCCCAGGCTACCTCAAAGCCCTGTGTGCACTCCAGGTCTCCATGTGCTGGAACATGGCAGGTTCTAGAGAAGCAGAGTAGATGAATGCTCCTCTCCAGTTCCCTGAGATGTTCTTCTCTAGATCTCAACCACCAACAGACCCAAAGAAACAGCCCCTTCAGTGTCCTCCGATGCTCCTCTCACTGTAGAATCTACAGTGAGTAGAGTGATAGAGTGATGGCTCTATCCTCACCATGTGTCATGGTCATCTACAGCTCAAACTCCTTCCCTGTACAGCCTGTTTCCATCTTCTACTAACAGTAAAGGCAGCTACAGGGACCCCTTGCCTCCCACCTACACCCCTGGAAGTGCAAACAGTGGCAGAGGGAGTGGGGGCCCAGGGCACCTACTTTCCGGCTGAGTCAGTACCCTTTACAGAATATTCTAGGAATTTCTGCTTACTTCTGTTTACATCTAGCCCTTAGTCACACAGCCACTGCGGATCACAACGGAGGCCATGACTAAGGAAGGGGTGAAGGGTGAGAAAAGGTTTTTGGTTGACAGCTAGCAAGTTCTGTCCCAGATACTAAACATGTAAAATGCTTTCGGTGCTGTCAGAATTAGAGGGCCAGGCACACAGAAGCTCCACCCACCATGTGTATCATCCTAGAATGTATCAGAAAGCCACAAACCGAAAGTTTGACTGGGTCGAATAGCCAGCCTGTGGGAAAAGATCATAGACTTGGGTTGCAGTTAATGTGACTAAAGTCATTTCAACTTCCTGTTTATATACTTGGTGATCCCCTAAGAAAGCATGGGATACACCAAGATGGCAGATGTGATGATGTGTTGGTGTTGGAGACTGGATATGGGAGGCTCCTTCCTTGGCCACTGACACCATTAGCATCTCCACTCTCAGCTGAGAGAGTTAGCAGAGAAGCTGCAGGATGATCTTTATACACATCTACTGGCCATTTTTTGCCATTGCCTCTTAAAGACACTGATGGGAGCACAAAGCACTGAGGGAGCACTGGTACAAGGGATGCTGAGAGAGAGGGTGTTTGGACAGAGGGAATTCATGCTGATACTTAAGAGGTATCAGTGCAAATACAAGGATGTGGCCACTTTAAAAGGGTTTGAGAGACAGAGACCACATGGATGAACTTAAGGATATTGTGCTAAGTGAAACAAAGCAGTCAGAAAATGATTCCAAGGCACAAGATACCCAGAACAATCAGACTCATTAGAGTCAAAGTAGAATGGCTGCTATTAGGAGCTGAGGAGAAGGGCATGAAGGGAGGATGTTGTTTAATGTGTATGTGTTCAGTTTTGTAAGGTAGAAGAGTCTGGGTGCTGAACATGGTGGAATGTAGATATAGTTCTGGCACTTGGGAGGTGGAGGCAGGAAAATCCAGAGTTCAAGGTCACCCTCAACTGTATAGGGAGTTTAAAAGGCCAGAGACCATCCCGAGGCTGTATGGGATCTTGTCTCAGAAAACTAAAGGAAAACAAAGTTCTGGAAATGATTGGTGATGGTGGTTGCACAGCAGTGTGAATGTACTAAGTATGTGTTTTGTTTAGGTGGTTAACCTATATAGTGTGTTCTACCACAATTAATAATAAAGAACTGGGGGGGGGGCTGGAGAGGTAACTCTAATTAAAAGCACTGGCTGCTCTTCCAGAGGATCCAGGTTCAGTTCCCACACAGCAGTTCACAACTCCTGGGGCTATGACACCCTCTTCTGGCTTCCACAGGTACCGCACATACATGGTACACACACACACACACACACACACACACACACACACACACTCACACACACACACACACAGAGTGAGAGACAGAGAGAGAGAGAGAGAACACCCATACACAAAACAAAAATCTTTCTTCAAAAAAATCAAAAAGAGAAGAGATAGGAATATGAAAGAGCAAAGCCATAATGGAAGAGAGGAGAGTAAGTTCTGGACTCGAGGAGCTCAGTGTAATTGGAATGGTGTTGGGGTGGGTGGGCACGATTGGAACAAGAAAAGAATTGTAACAGTTGGAGCAGTTGGCTTTCCAAGGAACGGAGAAATGACCAGAAGGAAAGAGTTGGTGACAGACAGCCAAGAGGAAAGGATCACACAGACATATGTATTTGGAAGGCCTGCTGGGGTGCTCAGTTGGGGGCTCTTGTAGATGGCAGTCTCCAGACATCGAAAGAATCCTCACTCTTATTCTCTTCCCCAGACTGCTACCAGCAGTCAGAAAGCCTCGCTGGAAGATGCCTGAGCTCAAATGGCCCAGCATTTACCAGGCCCTCCAGTGCCACGAGGTTGCCCGTGTGTCTGCTCTCGGGGAGAAGCCAGATCTGTCCATCATTGGCTCTGATATGTTCAACATCAGTTTCCGAAGCCAGGAAAGAGGAGCGGAGCTTCTGGGAAGGAAGGAACTCTCACCCTGGAGCAGTTTCTTGCCTGAGTGCTAAGGATCTCAGCTTCCATGCTTAGCAGTTCTTTCCCTGTGTAAATAAAGGTCTCACTGAGATTTAAGCTTTGCCCTGCGGGAACATCCAAGAACAAAATGAAGTATGATCTCAGCCCAGGTGGGCTCATCCCAAAACAATTAGAGCTGAAATTTCAGAGAACAAGTTGGATTCACAGTGTTCTTTCTGCAAAGTCAATGTTTCACTGTGTGAAGGAAACCCAGAGCAGGTGCTCACAGCCAGTGGCCCCCCAAACAGCTCCTCCACAGACCACAGACCACTTAGGGCATCTGTCTCTGGGTAGGCTGAGGGCAAGGCAGAGCAGAGAGGCTGCTGGGAAACACAGATGATGTTTTGCTAATGTGCTTTTTGCTAGAAGGTCTGCTTTCAGACAGATGTGGTCTCCCATCAATTCCTAACAGTACCCTGGGAGTAGACAGAAGCCATCTTACCAATCAGGAAATGGAGGCTTCCGGGAGTCATTTGCTGTAAGAGATAGAGATCTATCAAGAAGGGCTTGGCCTTTTCTTCACTCCAATACTCAGGGGAGGCTAGGTGTAACTCCTAGGAGCTGAGGGGTGGGGATCAGCCCCTCTGTGACCAGTACAGGTGGCAGATTCTGTTCCTGATCTTGAGATAGAACGCTGTGGATTTTTCTGCTGTCTTTAGAAGAGACAAAAAGAGATCTATGGGAAAGAGGAGGAAAGGAGGAAGGGAGGGAGGGAGGGCGGCCCCCAAGGCTGGAAGAGGCAGACGGGATGCGCTGAGATAACCCTGGAGCAAGTCCTGCTCACACCTTGGTTTCACACTTCTGTCTCCAGGGCTGTGAGGGGATAAATGTGGTGTGTTTACAGCATAGGCTACCATGCACCCGTGACAGGCCCAGAAACCTAATGTAGACAGCATGCTTTCTAGAAGGAAGGCAGAGTTCCCTGAGGCACACAGAGCATGGTCAGTGCTGAACTGCTAGTTATTTCTCATGCAGTTCACATTCCATGCATATGTCAGGCTCCTGGTACGCTCTGGGGACACAAACAGAACTAGGAATCTGCTCTTTTTTTTTTTTTTTTTAATCCCAAAAGCATGAAGCTTGGTGGCATAGAGATGCGTATCACTATGAAGTAGCACTGTGAACAAGACAGGGCAGGAGGGCTAGGGACCCCAGAAAAGGGGCTCCTGAGCAAGGGGTGATGAATAGTTAAAGATTGTCCTCCCATAATGCTGACCATTCCTGGGCCATCCTTGTGTGATGTGTATCCATGACCTAGTGAGTGTGTGTGAGTGTGTGTGAGAGAGAGAGAGAGAGAGAGCAGAGAGGAGAGAGAGGAGACAGAGAATATATGCATATATGCGTGTACATTTGAGGTGTGGGGACAGGCAGGGCTACCGTGGTGAGGCACTAGAATTTAGGCTGCACTACGGCCCTTCTCACCAAAGCCCCAGCCCTGCTTTAATGTCTCCTCATCCACTTCTCCTTATTTTAGGACCCTCTTCAGTCAGTCCAGATCTTTCCATTCCAATTGTAGGATAGAAGCGCCCAGCCGATCTCTTAGGCTGGGGCAGCGGGGTGGGGGTACTAACTCAGGAAGGAAATGGTGTCATAGCGAGCATGACTCTGCGAGCCGCTCGCCAGGGTTGGGCTTGTTACCTGACAGGCCTTGGCCCACAGGTCTGCTTTCACCTGCCACAGGAAGTCGCAGTCCTGGTTGTGTCCTCCCTGTGTCCTGGAAACAACCAAAATGTCACCTATCACACTGGTGGCTGGGCAGATAGAGACTTCAGTTAGGTCTTTCTTTCTTAAGATTTATTATTTATTTTCTGTATGACTGCTCTGTTTGCTTGTATGTGGGCATGTTGGAAGAGGGTATTAGACAAAAGAGGGCAACAGACCCCACTATAGATGGTTGTGAGCTATCATATGGGTACTGGGAATTGAACTCAGGACCTCTGGGAGGGTAGTTAGTGTCCTTAGCCGCTGAGCCACCTCTCCAAGGCAACCTATTATGCCTTTATCGCACAATTTTATTGTTCCTCTGAGGAACAGAGTTTGAAACGTTTTGTGATGAGACAACTGTGCAGTAAGTGCATCAGGGACGATATCAGCTATTGGCTGCCACTGATCCTTCCAGAAGGTCCCAAGTAGGAGACAGGTATGGGACAGAGGGCGAGACCTGGGGGAGGCCAGATGGACAGTGAGGCACAGGGCACTCAGGCTGCCTCGAGTTTGCAGTGTTAGTTAGCCACTCTGATTTTCAGGTCTTGTTGATTCAATGGGCAAAAGGCAAGCACAATAATCCTCTGATAAACTGAGCTAAGAGAACCTAGTGTGCACCTGCCACCTCCACCCCAGGCTCCAAGGGATACACAGGGGCTCTAAGTCATTTACTGTCCCCAGGTGACCACTCCCTTTCCTAATTCTGCCTGCCTGCTGTGTTGTTGGGATGCAGTAGTGCGAGAGGTTCCTTACACTGCGAGCATTAGCAGAGATCACCAGGACATGTTCTGTGGCACGCCTGTCCTGTGCATCCTCGTAGGCCTGGTCTCCCATCCAGTTTTCTGGCCAATCCTTTGGTTTCTTCTGATACCCTCAATACTATCCTTCTGAAGGGTTTGTTTGTTTGTTTTGTTTTTTAAATGGCATCACTCTGTTAGTCATTCAACAAATAATGATTGTCTACCAAAACGAAGAAGGCTGTGCCACATTCCTCCACTTGAGAGTGAGGTAGTGTGACCCCAGTTCCTCTTGTGTTCACGTGGAACAAACCCATTTGAGCATCTACCCCTGCTGTCTGAACCACTGCCTGCTTCATGTGTTTCAGCTCGGCCTTCTCTCTTAAGTATCTGCTGTGTTGAATACCACAGCCACTGATCTTCCTATGGTCCATTCTTTGGAGTGCATGTTTTCATTTCTCTCTTATTTTCTTCCTCCTTCCCTTCCTCCCTCTCTCCCTCCCTCCTTCCTTCCTTTCTTTGTTTTTTCAAGACAGGATTTCTCTGTATTGTTTTGGAACCTGTCCTGGAATTTGCTCTGTAGACCAGGCTGGTCTCAAACTCAAGAGATCCACCTGCCTCTGCCTCCCAAGTGCTGGGACTAAAGGCGTGTGCCACCAATGCCTGGCGGATCACATGTTTTCAGCTGGGTTTTCTTTCATGGAACAACCAGTAGTCTGTCCAATAGAAAGTAAGTTGTCTCCTCCCTGAGGACCAGGGTTCAAACCTACAGAGTAATCCCCAACAGCTAGGGACTGGTGAGAAACATGGCCAGGACACAGAACTATTGTGCAAAATGCTCAAGAAGGCAGAATGGGCATGTTTTGTCGTCTACACATGTACCGCTAAGAGAGGTACCACCGCAGGTTTTCTTCTCATGGCTGTTCAGCCCAAGAATCATTTGATCTTAGATTTGTACCATCCAATAAGGACAAACAGGGTTTTAATCAGGTCGACCAGGTAGCTTCAGCTGTCAGCTGGCCAAATGCTTTCTACATAGTGTGTCTGCCTTTTTCTGGACTACATTTAATTCTCCAATGGCTCTAAAGTGATCCACCTGGCTAATTTGTTTTAAAGCTATCCCCCAGGTTAAACACTTCGGTGTGGTAGGTGGGAAGCCTTCAAAATTCTCAAGCAAAACTTAGATCATAAAATGTTGGGTTGACTGTGGTAACCACAGTCAGTGATCTTTGATTGTATCTCAGATATAAGAAACAGTTGTAAACAATTTGCGAGAGAATGGGACCCGATGATACAACTGTATCAGGCAGTGTTCTCTTGGGCACAGTGGTAGCCAGTGTCAGGACTAGAAGGCCCCTGTGAGAAATGCGTGGGAAGCTGTGTGTGGGGCCTAGAGTGAATGGCCATGTGTTCACTGCACTGTTTTCTGCCTATATAAATAAAGATGAAAGATGGGAACGTTACAGGAATAACAGTGAGGGCTGATTTGGTATTTAAGGAAGGTTTTCTTACATTTGTGTGAAAGCTGGCAGAATCCAAACGGAATTGTGTCAAGCCACAAGCAACTAGTAAAACCGGGAGGGACTTTCACAAACTTTGCTAAAACCACAAGGACTATTCCCACACACTCCAGCCTTAAGTGAAGACACTACGTATACAGAGCATCCTAACCCCATCCACCCCAGCCTCAAGCAAAGATACCCCCGAAAAAGCCAACTCTCGCCCAGCCTCACTTATGTCCCCCATCCCCTGACTCTTATCAACCCTGCCTTTCTTACTCTTGTCTCTAGACACCCATAATTGTCAATCCTGAGCCCAAGGATTATGGTTTTAAAGTATATTATGTAGTTCTCATTTTGTCTTTGAAACCGCCCTTCCAAAGTGCCCAGGTTTTCCACCACTACCCTTTGGGAATGTGCATCTCAACCTGACTCAGGTAAACGTACAACTCAGGAGCCCCTCATCAGTAGGCACACCTTTGGGACCAGGAAGAATGGCCTGATGCTTCTGACCTGCAAATGATGATTCTGCAGACATCATTGGCACCATCTGATTCACAGATGCCCCTGAACCTAGAGGGAGCCCTGGGCACCCAACAGTAAAAGACTAGGTTTTCACTAACACACAGCATCGGTGTGGTTCACCAATCAGGAAACAAGGCATGCCCCTGATGCATGGCAGTGTTGATGTAGGAAGTCACCAAAGTGGGACCATGCTTGTGTGTGTTGTGTTGATACCACAGGCGTACTAGAGACTCAGGGATTGTTGAGCAGGAAGCTCACCAATGTCATTAAAGCCTCACTCGGTGCTCACTGTGCAAGGTCATAGACACTGCACTAGTTGCTTTAATAATCAACCACCACCGTCCAGAGGCAGGGGCTGATGTTACAGAGGGAACTAACTAGCTGAGGGTAGCACCAGGCTCTTAATGAAGGTGTGTGTTAGCAAGTATTTGGTAATCTTGTCCAGATCTCCCTCCCTTCCTCCCTCTTTCCCCTCTCAGCTGGATCCATCTCTGTACTCTCATGTTATTGATCAGAAAGGCCAACTCC